TTTTTGCTGTTTTGGGGGGTGGGAAGGAGGTATACCCGGTGGTTTAGTGCTTTGGGAGGGTGGTGTTTTTGTCTTCTGTGCACGGAGTACGGGGAGATGTGCTGTAATGATGCTGTAGGATAGGGCGTGTGTATATAATCTTGAGCTGCTTATATATCTAGGTAGTGCGTAGTAGTGACGGTGGACTGTACAGTTGACGTTGAAAGCTTTTTATATGTATAGCTTATAACACTCCTCTCCCGTTTCTACTCAAGGTTGTTCTTTTTTTCATTATATTTTTTTCTTTGCAAGAGAAATACTTTGAAGAAATAATTTATATATTTAGATTTATTTTTATATAAGATTTTCTATATCTTTATTTCTAAAACCTAAATTCCTAACACCAACGCCTAGCACAGCTACCCACTTCCGTCCCTAACAACTCGCTACTACAAAACTGCAACCAAATCCCACCTAATCAAGTATTTAATACCCACCAGAGCATCATCCATCAATCCATCAAAGCCCGGACGACCACTCCGGGCAAACGATAATCCGGCAGAGCTCCCGCGAGCGGGCAGGGACCACTCGGACCACTCGCACCAAAGCTTCCAAGCTTCCTCGCACCAAAGCTCCAAGCTCCAAGCTCCGACGCCAGCGCCAAAGAAGAAAAAAATAACAAACATGGCCCAACGAATTGCGCCGGCATTGGCGCGCCTCGCGCCCAGACACTCCGCTTCTCGGTGCGTGTGATTAATGGAAAGGATTGTGCCTGTTGAAAGCGTGGAAGTGCGTGGCTAATGGTTGCATCGTGTGGGTTGTAGCAGTAGCTTCGTGGCCGCGACGTCATGCCCGCGCCTCCTCTGCAGCACGCCGACGACCCAGGCGCAGGCGCAAGCTGCATCAGCTCCGTTTCTATCAGCTCCGTCGTCCTCGTCCGCAGCGCTGTCCTCATCCGCAGCTCCGTTCCACTCCGCCCGGCTCTTCTCAACCTCGCGCGCCCTAGCCAAGAAATCCGGCAAGGCGAACCTGTCGCACGCGCGCTCCGACAGCTCGCCGCCCGTGGCCGAGGCCGGGAGTGCGACGCCCACGGACGAGGCGTACGACCTGTCGACGCTGGAGGCGGCGATCCTGCGCGCCATCGAGGCGCTGACGCATGAGTTGGCGGAGCTGCGCGCGGGCGGCCGCTTCAACCCCGAACATCTGGAGAAGCTGCGCGTTACGCTGAAGGGCGCCAGTGGGAAGGATACGGTGCGCTTGGGGGAGCTGGCGCAGGTGATTCCGAAGGGGAGGGTGCTGGGTGTTGTTGTTGGTGATGAGGACGTGAGTCTGGCCTTGCCCTGTTGATCGTTTACACGACGGCGTGTGTTCTTGCAATTGTACTGACGGCCATTCTTTCTCAGCACATCAAGCCCCTGATGACGGCGATCCAGGCCTCAGGCTTCTCGCTCACGCCCCAAGCACCCACGCCCGATAACCCCACCACCATCACGGTGCCCATCCCGCCGCCGACGGGCGAGACCCGCCGCGCTGCCCTCGACGCCGCCCACAAGGCTGAGGAGAAGGCCAGTCTCGCCGTGCAGAACGCCCGCACCGCGCATAATAAGCGCATTCGTGCGCTCGAGGTCAAGCGCACGGTCAGGCCGGATGACGTCGTCAAGGCGAAGAAGCTGATGGATGAATGTGCCAAGAAGGGCCAGAGTGAGGTTAAGCGTATTGTCGATGGCGCGAGGAGGGTGCTGGAGAGTGCGTAGAAGGTGGGTTGGAGATGGTTGTAGATGGATCTAGAGGGAGGTACCTGGATGGGTTGGTTGTTTGTAGTGGTGGCCTGGGTTTGGTGGGCGGGAAGGGCTAAAAAAGATGGGAGCCTGCGCAATCGCATGTGCCAATCTTTTTGTGGACAATAAGTGCCTCCTGTTGGTTCTCTAAATCCAGACAGGGATCGACTATATCAAAACACAGTTGAGACGGGGAGTTGATGGCGGACTTTGATCACATTTACCAGTAAGACGCATTGACAACTAATAGGACGTGAAGTCCCTCTTCGAAGAGACCAAATACTTTTATCGAATATAAATATTATTTGGAGGGAAGGCGTAGCTGCGACCGGCTCTCTGTTCGGCTAAACTCTGGCTCGAGCTACGTACCCGGCGCGCCAAGCCTGGAGCGCGACTGATGCAGCAGCAGCAGCTCGCGACTTGCCTTCTCCGTCACTGCCTGCTCAAAGAAACCGTCTACATCCACACCCGCTCTCCCATAAAGGCCGTCGCCCATTGTCCGGCCGCGCCCCCACTTCTTTCATCCCCGTCTCCCCTTTCTCTCCGCTCCGCTTCCCGTTTCCCTGATTATGCGCTAGCCGTTTGACCTCACTCGACTTTCCGTGAACCATGGCGACGGCGGCCATCGACACGGCTTACATCGCCGCCTCATACTCCATACCCGAACCCAGCCTGCAAAACCTCATTGATGCACCCACGGCCGAGCTCGTGCAACAGCTCCTGACCAAGATCGAGGCCAAGGCGCACGAGTTCGACGAGGTCAAGGCCGAGAAGCTTCGCTCCGATGTCGAGCTCGAAAACGCCGTGCGAACGGGTGATGCCCGAGCGCGCGCGTTAAAGGCGTCCGTTGACAAGGGCTTGAAGGAGGTGGAGGAGGTGAGGAAGAAGCTCAGCGAAGAGGGTAGGCAAACCGAAGCTCAGTAGATGCCAGGTCGCGCTAACGTTTGTGCAGAAAACGCCCGCGCATCTCTCGAATCGGATCTCCAGAACCTGCGCTCTTCTTCCTCTACTTCGTCTACCGAGACCGAGACCCTTCGCACACGCGTTTCCACACTCGAAGCCTCCAACCGTGACACCCTCTCATTGCTCGAAGCGAAGACTACTGCCCACGACAAGCTCGCCGAGGAGCTTGCTGCTCAACAACAAAAGATTGTCGCGTTGCGCCGCGAAATCTCGGAGCTTGAGGACAAAAACCAGGCAGCCCAGAACGCGGCGACGAGCACCAAGTTCAAGCAACAGGCCCTGCAACAAGAGATTGATCTGTTAAAGCGTAACAATGACTATCTGGACTCTGAGCTGAAGACAAAGAGCACCGAGCACTCCAAGTTCCGGAAGGAAAAGAACGCAAAGATTTCCGAGCTGCAGCGCCTGTACGATGACGCGAATGAGAACATCGAATCGATTCGTCGGACCGAGGCCACGCTGCGCAGTCGCCTTGACGAAGTCAACCAGAAAGCCGAGGATTCATTGACTAAGATTCAGCAACTTCAAGAAGCTGCCGCGAAGACCGAGGAATCATTCCGCGTCGAGCTTGACAGCGCGCGCAGATTGTCGGATCTCCAGAAACAAAGTGCGGACACAGCAAGGGCTCGTCTGCAAGAAGTGCAGAACTCTTTCGAAAAGATCAAGGAAGATGCAGCAGAAGAGCTGGGCCAGATGCAGGCTGAAGTGGAGACTGAGCGGTCAGAAAAGGAGCTTGCGCTGCAGAAGATCGAAGAGATGGAGCTTCAAGTTGAAAGACTCGAGGCCGATTTGTCTGCGCGCCAAAACGCTATTACTGTATCCGGAACTCCTAGGCGTGCGATGAACGGCTTGGCAGCACCCGTCACCCCAGGCCGTGCCGGTTCCCCTGCGTTTGGCTCTCCCAACACTCCTCGCAACAAGGGCGGCCTCACTTTCACTCAATTGTACTCTGAACACTCTCAGATCAAGGCCGATCTGGACGCCGAACGCCGTCGGAGCGCAAAGCTGACCGCGACCATTGATGAAATGATTCAGGAGCTTGAAGCCAAGCAACCCGAGATTGAGGAGCTGCGAAACGGCCACCAAAAGCTGGAGTCCGAAGTCGTGGAAATGTCCGAGCTGCTTGAAGAAGCCAACAGAGACAGGGACACTGCAAGGAAAGAGTCTAGGAAGTGGTCGGGCCAGGTCGAGGGGCTGCAGCGTGAGAGCGAAATCCTCCGCCAGCAGCTTCGCGATCTGAGCGCGCAAGTCAAGACTTTACTTTTCGAAGTCCAGGTGCGTGATCAGGGCCTGGAGGCTCTGAGCGCAGCCGAGCAAGCTCAGTTTGAGGCTATGGCTCGTGGCGATGTCGAGATGGAAGATGCCGACGGCGCCACGGATACTAGCCGCTTCATCAGCCAACGTCTTACCATCTTCAGGAACGTTGAAGAGTTACAAGAGCAAAACAGCAAGTTGCTGCGCGTAACCCGTGAGCTTGGCGAACAAATGGAAGGTGAAGAAGCCCGGGCCAAGCAGAACCAGGCCGAAAGGGATCATGAAGAGTTGGAGGAGTTGAGGGTGAAGGCTGACCGCTACGAGGATGAGCTGAAGTCCCTCAACACAGTTGCTGAGAGTTACCAGCGTGAGAGGGATATGTTCCGCCGGATGCTCACCCACAGAGGCCAGATTCCTCCTGGTTCCGATCTCCAAACCATGTTCGGCCAATCTGTTGGACCCGCTACGCCACCGCCCGGTGCCTTCTCTCACAGCGTCGGCCCTGGCGCTGAACCCGGCAGGGATCTGTCCGACTACGCTAAGCTTCTGAAGGAGATGCAAAGTCACTTTGATGCCTACCGCAAGGAGGCGACCACCGACCACGCGATGCTCAAGGAGCAAGCCGATCGCCTTGCCAAGGAAAAGAGTGACCTCCAAATTGAAATCAACCGCAACAGCAGCCAACTTACCCTTGCGCACGAGAGGTACGAACTCTTGCAAGCCAACTTCAACCAGCTCAGGTCAGAAAATTCCGAGCTGCAGAAGCGTGGACAATCTCTGGCGGAGACTTCGGCGAAACAAGACCTCAAGACTGCGCAGGTGGCCGAGGAACTTTACGAAGCGAAGGCTCAAGCAGATGGTTTGCGCCACGAGGCTGCCAACCTGAAGGCTGAGAAGGAGCTTTGGAAGAACATTGAGAACCGTTTGGCGGACGACAACCGCGCTTTGACCGATGAACGCACTCGCCTCAACAAGATGATCGCCGACTTGCAGAACCTACAAAATGAGAGGGAACTCGCTGACTCCGAGAACCGTCGCCGTCTGCAGACCCGGATCGAGTCTTTGGAGTCTGAGTTGCAGACCGTCAAGCGTAAGCTGGATGACGAGGTTGAGGATGGCAAGCGGGCTACCTTGAGGCGGGAGTACGAATCAGAACAGAACAGGACTCGGATTGACGATCTGGTCAAGAGCTTGAGCAATGCTAGGGAAGAGTTGGTCGCTGCCAAGACGCAGCGTGACCAGTTCCAAGCCAGGGTGGAGGAGCTTAGGATTGAGTTGCGCAATGCCGAGGAGAAGGCCATAGCATTGCAGCCTAGGCCCACTCCACGTCGGGAGAGCATCCTGCCGAATGGCGAGGAAGGCACCGGTGAAGGCAATGACCTCAGTCGCGAGCAGGAGTTGGCTGTCGAGGTGGCTGATCTTAAGCGCGATCTGGAGATTGCCAAGAACGATCTCGAGGCTGCTAAGACACACGTCGAGCAATACAAGGCCATCAGCCAGTCTTCCGAGGAGGAGCTCCAGAGCATGAACGAAGCCCACGACCAGTACCGTGAGGAGATGGACCGGATCATCACTGAAAAGGATGCCAAGATTCACGATCTGGAGCAACGCGTGGAGGAGATCTCGACTGAGCTGGCTACGACCAACACCGAACTCTCCGACCTGCGTACTGGTCACGAAGAGAACCAGACGCGTTTCAACGAGCAGAAGTCCATCCTTGAAACTGAAATCACCCGCCTCAAGGATGAAAGCGACCGCTACCAGGAGACTGCCAAGCTCTGCCAGGAAGACCTCAAGGCTCAAGCAACAATCGCTCAGCAAGCTCAGCAAAGTTATGAGCAGGAGCTCGTCAAGCACGCCGAAGCTGCGCAAGGCTTGCAGAAGGTCCGCGCGGAGCACAACGAGCTCAAGTCTCAAGTTGCTGAGATCAGAGCTGAGGCTCAGGCGGCCAAGACCGCGCTGGCATCGAGCGAGGACAGCTGGAACGAGACCAAGAGCCGGTACGAGCAGGAATTGACGGACATCAAGAACCGGCGCGAGGATGTTAACAATCAAAACCGCATCCTCCACCAGCAGCTGGAGACTGTCAGCTCGCAAATCGCCGCCCTTAAGCAGAGCCGCGCCAGCCTTGGCGAAGAGGGTGAGAGCACCGCTACGCCGCCTCCTGGTGCTGGAGACTTGCAAGAGGTTATCCGTTACCTGCGTCGCGAGAAGGAGATTGTGGATGTACAGTATGAGTTGTCCATCCAAGAAGCCAAGAGGCTCAGGCAACAGCTTGATCACGCTCAGACTCAGCTCGACCAGACTCGCGAGAAGCTCAACCAAGAACGCCAGAGCCAGATCGACAAGGAGCAGAGCAACATCACTCACAGCAAGCTCATGGAAACTATCAATGAGCTCAACCTCTTCCGTGAGAGCAGCACGACTCTCCGCAATGAAGCTCGCCAAGCCCAAGCTCAGCTGGCCGAGAAGGTCAAGGAGGTCGAAAACCTCATGGCCACTATCGAGCCTCTGCAAACTAAAGTCCGCGACGCTGAGAACGATTTGGAGACGAAGGACGGCGAGCTCAAGCTTCTTCAGGAGGACCGTGACCGCTGGCAACAGCGGACGCAGAACATTCTGCAGAAGTACGACCGTGTTGATCCTGAAGAGTTGGCCGCCCTCAAGAATGAAATCTCCTCTTTGCAGACTGAGCGTGATCAATTGCTTGCTGAGAAGGAGCCGTTGCAACAGCAGATCGACAACATTCCGGAACAGGTTCGTGTCGCAAAGGAGGAAGCTGCCCAGGCTACCAAGGAAGAAAACGACAAGTTCCACGAAGAGCGCCGCAACAAGTTGATTGAGCAATTCAAGGAGCGCTCTCGCAACCTATCTGGGCAAATCAAGGAGAAGAACCAGGAGAACCAGGCCGCTGTCCAGGCCAAGGAGCAGCTGGCTCAAGAGCTTGCTGCTGTCCGCGAGGAACTCGAGGCCGCGAAGACCGCTCGGGACGAGGCCATTGCTAACGCTGAAAAACAACCACCTGCCGATGTACAGATGCAAGAAAATCAGGAAGAAGGACAGGTTCCTGAAGTTGAAGGTGAAGGTGAAGAGTCCGGTGTACCAAGCGCAGAGAACGCATTGCTTGAGGCTCGTGCTCTGGCCGCTGAAGCCAAGGTGGCCGAAGAAGCTGCTCGTGCGGCTGAGTTGCAAACCCAGGTGGAGAACCTTCAAAGGAGGACTCAAGAGCTTGAGTCGCAAATTGTAAGTATTAAGGACGAGGCGCCAGAACTACACATTCTAAGAACAATGCAGGGCGAGCTTCAACGAAACCTCGACACTACCACGACCGAGCTTGCCCAACTTAGGGTCACGACCTCCGCTACTCCTGCACCCGAAGCTGCTCCCGAGGCTGCACCCGAAGCTGCTACGACGGATGCGGAGACGGTTGAAATGCTCGAAAAGCTCAAGGCAGACCTTGCTACGGCGCAGCAGGAAGTCGAAACTCTTCGTGTTGCTGCGGCAACTGTTTCGCCGACCGCTAACGCCACTGAGAACACTGCCGTGCCTGCTGAGCCTGCCGCGCCTGCCGCGCCCGCTGCGCCCGCTGCGCCCGCTGCTGATCTTTCCGAACAGATTGCCGCCATCAAGGCCGAATCCGATGCTGCTCTGGAGGCGAAGGTTAAGGAGCTTGAGGCGCAGTCCGCTGAGAAGACCAAGCACGCCGAAGAACTGTACCAGAAGCGTGCCGATCAGATGAAGGCCACTCTTTCCAAGAAACTCACTGAAGGCAAAGAGACTATTCGTCAACAACTCAAGCAAGAGCATGAGCAGGCTTTGCAACAGCTCAAGACGGAACACGAGGCTGAAATTCAGCGCCTGAAGACCGAACACGCTGCGGAGCTTGAGCGTGTAAGGGGCGAGGCCCAATCTGGACAACCTGCCCCCATAACCGCACCTGCTGAGACTGCCCATGATGAGGCCAAGCCTGCCGAAGCTGCACCAGCTACACCAGTTGCGCCACCCACACCAGTCAAGACTGAAGGTGTCAAGGTCAGCGAGCTTCAGCTTTCTGATGCAGAGGCCCGTGATCTTGTGGCGACGAATGCTACGGTCAAGAACATTGTCATGCGCAACATTAAGCAGAAGCTGGCGGCCGAGGTCGAGAATGCTACCAACAAAATCAAGGAAGAGCAATCCCAACTGCAGGCCAAGATGGTCGCGGATGCGCTTGAGGAGGCCAACAAGAAGGCCGAGCAAGCGAAGGAAGCAGCCATTGCTATGACTGAGAAGAAACAGGCCGTCAAGATCAACATGGCGCAGAACAGAGAGAGGACGGCCGGCGCCAAGATCGAAGTGGTGAAGAAGGCGGCGGAGGACACACCCCAGCGGCCAGTTGGCGAAGTCTGGGCCATTGCAAAGGACGCAAAACCGGCGCCTGTGCCTTCACCACAGCTTGCGGCTGCTCCTGCTGCTGCATCGGTTCCTGCTGCAACTCAACAACCTGCGGCTCAGGCGTCTCCTGCTCAAGCTTCTCCAGCTCAGCAGCACCAGCTGCCATCTCACCCGCAGACACAGATGCCGCAGTCAGGTGCTTTGTTCGGTCGTCCCGCTCCTGTTCCCGGTCAACCTCAACAAGGCCAGCAACAGCATGGCCAGCAGCCCGGTGCGGTTCCCATGAACCAGTTCCAAGGTCAACAAGGCCAACCCGTTCCCAACCCCTTTGGCGCAGCTGCCGGCATTCCGCGCCCGAACACGAGGTTGCCTGACGCGCCGCTTGGCGCAGGTGGTCGACCCAACTCCCCCTTCGGCTTCCAGCCCGGTCAAAACCAGCCCGGTGGCTTCCAAGCACAACAGCAAGGCCAGACTCAGCTGCCTCTTCCCAACCAAGGCCAGGCAGCACAGAACACGGCGTTGCACAACCGGCCCCCGCAGCAACAGCCAGGCGTCGGCACCGGCCCTGGCGCCCTCCGCTCTATCGTCAGCCAAGGCGGCACGGGTATCCCGCGTGGTGGCGGCACAGGCATTCCTCGTCCTGGTGGGGGCAGAGGAGGCATGGCTCAGCAGCAGGGCCAGCAGGGCCAGCAGGGCATGAGTGCCTTGCCACGGAGGGGCGGCGGTCACGGCAGAGGCCGTGGCGGTGGCCAGCAGCAGGGTCAAGGCCAACAGGGCGGTGGCGATGGCGCGGGCAGGGGCATGAATGCTGGTGCGAGGCAGTTTGTGCCTGGCCAGGGGAACAAGAGACCCCATCCCGAAGGCGGTGATGGTAATGATGCCGGGAAGAGGGCGAGGGGTGGTGGTGGTGGGAATTAAAGTAGAGGGGTTGAGGGGGTGTCGTTGTTGCATTGCATTGGCATTTTAGTGTGGTAAAAATCTCTTCGTTTGCTTGTTGTTTGTTTGTTTGCTGCTTGCTTGCTTCTTGCTTGCGTTTTTAAAGGTTTCTTTATTGCTGTCGGGGAGGGGAGATGGGCGGTTGCTGGTCTGGAAGAAGGCTGCTGTGTACGCTTAGACAGTTGGGTGTGCGTGCGTGCGTGCGGGCGTGCGGGGGAGAGAAGAGAGCGAGCAATATCGGGCGCTCGATGCATCGTCGCTCGTAATATTAGGGAGCAGAGCAAGGCTTGGCATATATATGTAGGCTAGGATAGGATAGGATAGAGCATTGATGGTGGATACTTGGTAAGCCTTTTGTGTGTGTGTGTGTGTGTGTGTGTGTTTTGGAGTGATTCTGTTCTGTTTGCTGGTCGTGGGTGAGGTGATGTTGGGGTGTAGAGTGAACGGGAAGAATCACCTGCTTCTTCATCGTCTGTCTGCTCACGCGTTCGTGATATCACGTGAATGATCACTTGAACTTGTTTGTTTTTAAAACTCTGTTAGATTTGAAGAGATGGTTACGCAGCTAGCTCGTCACTGAATAATTTTATCTGATTATGAAAACAGATCCTAACGCCGTGGTTGTGCCTAGCGAAGGAGATCCTACCGGTCGTATGGACTGGATTTCGGGGCCGGCTTCTGGTTGCTTATGTTTTTGGTCTTTGTCTTGGTCTTTGGATAATTTGTGGTAGTGTAGATTCATGTTCCGTGGAAGGTGAGAAGAACTTATCTGGTTGTTTCTGTGCGCAATGCAGATTTGTTGATCGTGCATACGGCAACTGTGAGTACGACAACAAAGCTGTTTTGTCCTGCTCTCCTGATATTCGGCATTATTGCACTTTCTCTAGAATAGATAATGATCCTACTTCCCGCTTTCTTGAAAAGATTCCAGTTTCTACTATGGCTATTTTCTAGACTCCTCGCAACAGATCGTACTCGTTAACTAACTTCGGATGCGTAGCTTTGAGCTCCCGGAAGCGTTGCGTGGCACTGAACTAGTTCTGGCTCCTATAGCTCCGCTCCGGCAAACTGACGCGTAGTAAGTGCCACAGCCGTTCTTTACTGAGTCGTACTATTCGTTCTACAAAAGGCATAGTAAAAGAACTAATCGACTGCGTGGGCTGCGACCTTCAAAGCAAACCGTAACAACCGAGCAACATTACAAGCATAGCTTGGGGAATCTGTCATGGACGTAAAGGCCTCGTCAGCACCATAGTCTAGCTAATAGGCCCAGTCTCTTTACTCTCATTTGATAGTAATTATAATCATCATCATTTCTTATAAGTGACAGTCCCCGTCAATACAGTTTGTTGACAGCCAGGCACCATTCCATAATAGGTCCACACTCCTCGGTCAGCATCATTCTTTACTAATTCCACGCTCCCTCGCAATGTCTTCTATTGTCTTCTGCCGTGGCTCGAAGCTGGGGCTCCTAACGGGCGGAAAGTGCAAGGAGTTTTGCTGTGAGTGGCACAGAGCGGAATCGCTCATCTCTAGGCACTGGGAGAGCTCGGGTTTAATGATGGTGTTCGGAGACTCGTTCGGCGTATCTGGATAGTCGGGTGATGAAATGGTGTCGGCTTTGTTGGTGTTGCTTGATAAGGGGGAAGAGCATGGCGGGCAAGGTCGTCTTTCTGACTTCACCCCAACCCCGAGGACATCCGCTAGCGCCAGGTACATACACCATCGTCGTCATAGTTGGGTCTGCGCAAACTGACAGCAGCGATTGTCGATGGCCATATCCATGATCTGCTTGGAGTTGTGACCGAGAAAACGGTGCGAGTGTGACAACAACCCTGACGCCGGTGGTAGGTACCATTCTGTCACTCCTCGAGGAGGACTTCTTTAAAAGCTTAGTTCCCTTAACGAAAACCAAGAATAACAAACGCACAACATTAGCAGGAACCTCTGTTAGAGGAACAAAAAGTCAGGCCCGAAGGCCCTATAAACTTGCCTATAAGGCAGTTTCCCCGGCGTTGTGACAACGGCGTGGTTCGAACACTCGAAATCCAGGTGTTAAACCTTGAAGTGTTAAGGTACCTTTACGGTGGCCACTAAACCACACGACGCTTCTAACTCGTGTTCTTACTAAGCCGCCAACTGAGCTTATAAGGGTACCTAGCGCCCGTGGCTAATTGTCGGCTGCAGGTGTTCTTCCAAGCTCTTTCACTATACATGATTTGTAACTTCTTTTCGCGTTTCCACGAGCTGCTTCTAGAAAAGACTGTTCTTCTCCATGCTCTTTGAGGGTCGTTTGTCCTTGACCGAGGCTTTCTAGCTTCGTAAAGCTCTTACGTGTAGCAAACGTATTGACTTCCGAGCTTCGTCCTCACTTAAACTCTCTTGAACATCTTCTCCCATATACAGCATCGCTAACTCAAACATCATTTCGTGCTCGTTTCACCTCTACACCAACAGACTCCTCTGCTCTATCAAACTTCCTACCACCTCTTTAAATGCGCGGTCGGAGTCCACTATGGGGATCGTTTCCACACTCTCTGATCGTCTTCCTGAGCTCATTTCCCCCGGTACTTCGCAAACGCCTCGCCGACCGTCCCTCCCGCCTTCACATCCTTCATAACCTTCTCATCCGCCTCCACCAGCCGCGGCAGCAACTCCAACGCTTCATCCAGCTTCTTAAGCGGTATGACGACAGCCGCGTTCTCAGTCGGATCAAGCATAATGATGTCGCCCTGTCCATCATCAACATCGGCGTCCACAAAAAGCGACGCAAGAACGGCATGAGTAACAACAGAGAAAGCGCACTCACCGGACCAACAACACACTCCCCAACTCTCACATCCGCATCCAGCACCACAGCCTTCGCCTGCGCCCCAGCTCCCACCGCACTCCCGCCCCTCGCCCACACCGGCACACCGTCCTCCTCCTGCACATCGCGCAGCGCCTCCAAGTCGCGCACGCGGCCTGAAACAAGAATGCCCTGTACGCCGCGCCGCGCCATACGCACGGCGTTGATGCCGCCGACGACCGCGCAAGTCTGGTCCGCGGGCTGCGAGAGCACCACGATGGTGCCGTCCGAGACGGCATCCGCGTACGGCGTCCCAGCTGGGAGAGGCGTGCCTTGGTTGGTGGGGACAGCGGGGTTGGGGGTTGGGCGGTTGGGAAAGGAGGGACTGGGGGACGGGGCGAAGAGGATGGTGCTTGCGGGGGCGATGGTGCGGGTTTGGGTCGTGTTTGTTGGGGTTGAGATGGGTGCTGGAGTGTGTTAGTGGGATACTTGGTTTGCGAAGTATGGATGTGGTTGAGTGTTTTTGGGGTTGTAGGTGGGGGTGATGATTTGGCTGGTGTAGATAGGGGATGAGAAGAGAACAGCCGTATCAAGCACATCCTCACAGAAAAAAGAAGCTAAAAGAATAAAAATAGGCAATACTGAGAAAGAGGCAACAGAACGTCTCCCCTAACAAGAAGAAACAAGAAAATCAAACGCACCTATATCCGCAAGAAAGCCAGCACCCGGAACCTGCAACTTAAGCAACGCATCGCAGACCTATCCATATCCAAAATATTAGCACCCTCCCAAACGACCAAACCCCAAAACACAGCCTCCCACAGCGCAAGCGGACGCAACATAACGCATGTAGTCACATGCGTCCCACGCCCCCGCGACCCGGCGACAATCGGGGAAACGGAACAAACTTACGTCACAAGCAGAGTAAGCAGCAAGGGCTTCGAGCTGAGCAATACTCATTATGGAAATATGGATGGAAGTGTGAAGATACGGCAAAGTTTTTCTGGATATCAGGGATGGATTGTGTGATGGAGTTGTGGTTGTTGTTGTTGCATGTGCCAGTGCCTGCGGATGCGGGGATGCACAGCTCCGGCTCGGCTCGGGGCAGCGGCGGTCAACGTCACCGCCTGATGGTCGAGCGTTCTACCGCTTGTTTGAACTCTTCGAATTATTTTGACGGTTCTTGTGAATGGGTCTATGGGTGGCCTAGATGAGCTCTACTCCTGAGGAAAAGCAAGCAAAACCCCCACGTTTACAGCGTGAGATACCCGCCCACCCAGGCTTCCGAGCAGCCTTGACTCATTCTATGAGGTATACGAAGAGAAGAGAGACAATCGTGCTGTAAAGTCTGGAAGAAAGAACAATGCTAGGCCACTAGGAACCGTGCGACACAGGACGAAGCCTGCTGACAGTAGCGCGCAGAACTGAGCCGAGAAGTGAGCAGTTCGATGAGTGGGAGGTTGTGGATGCAGTAGACGGGCAATGTATTGGATTCTTCAAGGTATCTAACGCGGTAGACCGTGCTTATAAAGCTAGTACTAACTAGGGAACAATGTCAACAAAATGGTTTACCAGATAGCTCCACGCACTGCGGTATTAGCAGGCTTCAAAATTGCACTGACGATTCATTTATTTGGCTACAGGTATACTCCATCTGTTTGTGAAGGTCGCTCGGAGTTTGTGCTTTGACAAAAAGAAAGTCTGCTTTATCAGGGAGCAGTGGATGATTACACTTTTTGCTTACGCTTCCTTCTCCGATCACACATAACTACGCCATTTCTCGGACTGGACTTTTTGCTATTTCTACGCCTGCCACATCACAAGCGCACTGCGATATCCATCACCGCTACTCAAATTGCAAAGCTCTCCATATCCAAAATAAGTCCACAATCAAGTACGCGCACTAGACCATACACCAACCACGCACAGCCACAAAACAAAGACCGAACGACAAATATGGAGAGACAAGCCACCAAACATGCATGCCCTTCCAACAACGTAGTCGTCACAGCGCCCAACGATAGGAAATCTGTCACTGAAACGCCGCTCCGCCCTCGCATAAAACACCAGACCCGCATTGTCGTTAATCTGTCCGAGAAAAATAACAAGACACTATATGTCAGGCCGTGAGAGTTTGGGCGGGTTTATGCGCTCTTTGGACCGTTCGAATACGGTGGATGGTCTATCATTTCTCTAATACTGGGTGACTGCGTGGTGTGCTCCCTCCCTTGCACTTTTATTAATATGTGAATATGGCGAGAGCTTCGCGGTTCGCTGGTACTGGACATTATATCACAGGCAGCGTGTTTCAGATATGGTGGCTAGACAGTTGGAGGTAGTGCAGGTATGTGGAGGAGTAACGGATAGACGAGCGCGGATAACATAGCAGAGCTGGAAGAAGTAGAGCATTCCGTGTGAGGTAGCAAGGGCGAAGACATTGATAAAGGGTATATCATACAACAACGACCAAAAGATAAAGACTGTCTAAGAGCATAAGGCAACAAAACATTCTTCCGTCAAGCAAAGCAAACCCCCAGAAAGTCTACTCATCCAACCACAACACCGAAGCAAACACAAAGTAGCCCCAAATCTAACGGTCCCAGACAAAACAGCCACCAGCCCCTTCCACAATACCACGGACCACCACAGCGAAAATCCCGCACATCTTAAGCAAATCACAAGCCTAGCACTTTGATATCCAGCGCAGCTACATCACCAATACACAGCACGGCTGGTCGTCTCAAGACATTACACAGAAACGAGCAAAGCAATCACGCCGAGAGCATTATCTCTCGACTCTATTAAACAATATATATAACTACTTCCGTGAAGATAACAAGCCCATCGTATACAGAACACGTAGACGAAGCAGTTTCGCTTCCCGCACATCCAGTCGCCTAAAGCTTAGTATCGAGGGCATGAAAAGCATACACGCATAGAGCAAGGGCTCAGTAAATGCAACTACAAAGAGTACGCCAGCATCCATACACAACTTACTTTCGGCCGCGCGAGTAGAGAATCCGCATCCGGACGGGAAGTACCTAGTAACACGCAAAGGCTCCTCGAGCGTCTTGATGGACGAGGCGGTAGCTCTCTATACAAGCTTCGTTCACGGCTACCTCCAAATCAAGCCGTAGGGATACATAATTCACAACTACCATAGTATAAGAGTCGTAATCTCCATTTCGAAAGTGTAACCATGATCGAATCTTGACTTACTCAGTCCTGTCATGCCCAAGAGATTACTACGTCTACTTAGAATGCCCAAGCCCGTAATACGTTCAATTTAGTCGTAATTATAACACTTTTTCCATACCTTCGTGCGCCCTAGTACCTGCTAACGCCTATCCAGTCCCAGTCCGGCCAGTAGTTGTCCCTCGCACCTTTTAAACCCACAAATACCAGCCTCTAACTCCATTCACCCGCCCAAAGCAAGACTGCTGAAGATGGGAATTGAGAAGCAGTGGTTCAATGTCACCCCTTAGAACTCCATCGCCTCAGAAAGGAAGTCCTTCCAAGCATCCTTTAGTCCTGTTCGCTGGAACTTCTCCCCTTGTTCATCAAGAACCTCTTCCACGTTACGATGTAGCGCCGCAGTCGGTTTAAGCTCTCTTCTTGACCTAACAGCTAACTTATCGAGGTCTGCGCGCTGACTATCAAGGCCATCAAGGAGGTTCGTTAGCGCATTGTGGCGATCAGCCAACTCGTTCTGCAAATCAACTTTGTGCGCGTAGAGCGACTGAGCCAGTGTGCGGAAGGCGTTGCGCTCGGAGACGATGGTATCAAGGCGGGCTTGCAGAGCGCGCTGCTTGTTGGCGTGTTGATCGTCGAGGTTGCAAACATTGGCTTCGTACTCCGCTTTGGCCTCCTTCAGCGCTTTGCGGAGCTGTTCGTTCTCGCTCTTCAGGCGTGTGTTTTCGTCTTCGTAGACCAGTACGCTGGGAGGTGGTGCGTAGGGTTGAATCGACTTTCTGAGTCGTTTAGGCGCATGAGAGAGGTTTTCGCTGTTGGCTGAAGATGTACCATTGCGCTTGACGTTGTTGATTGAAACCTCGCTTTGTAGAGGGAGAGGAACTCCGCCCATTGGGGTGTCAGCATCGTGGTGTTGGAGGTTGGTATCAACAGGCGGAGGAGAGGAGAAAGCTCCACAAGGAGTCGGGGCTTTATGAGCATGTGTGACTGGGAAGACAGGCGAACGAGAACCGGATATGTCGTTGGCTGGTTGATCCTCAGGCTCCGCAGTGGCGTGAAGTAGCTGCTCAGGGGATTTATTGAGAGGATTGTGAGCCACTGGAGACGGCAGAGTCTTGGAGGCCCTGCGGTGCTGTGTTTCGGCGGCTGAAGTCTGAAGGGATGCCTTGCGACGCTTCTTCTTGTCGGCGAGTGGAGGATCGGAGGGTTGCTCAGATACCGCATCCTCTTCTTTGACAGTTGGCGCCTGGGTTCCATTCTTGGGTTGTGATTGCTCCATTTCAATACTGAGGCAAGGGATGTCCTGGTCCGAAGACTGCTGTACGTCGTCGGCTTCATGATTGATTTCACCGTTCGAGAGCAGAGAAGTGTCTTTGGCATGATTAACAGAAGCGGATATGCCAGTGTGGGACTCTGTAGGGCTAGATCGGTTGTTCCCTCCAAGAAAGCCATTGTCGCTTACACTAGACGCCTTGCTGGAAGACGCCTTGCTCGAAGACGGCGCGGGCGGTGCGGGCAATGCGCCGCAAAGCCAGTACTGACCGCCACCACGCTTGGTCAGCGCGACGAAAGAGGAATTGCTACCGGGCTCATACACTGGGCGTCCTCGGTTCGGGCGCGACGCAGGAATCTTGCCTTGTGAATCGAAATCAAAAGGCCAATTGCGATGGCGCTCATGAGCATTGTACACGCTCGATTGTTGAAGGATGTCGTAGGCGGCGCGATCGTCGAGATACACGTAAAGAGGTGGTTCATCTGCGCCCTTTTGGATCGGGTTGGGAACGTTGCGAGTGTACAGTTTCCAAGTGGGATGACCAGTCTTTCTGTTGCGATTCTTTTCAACCAGACCCGGGTTGGGATCGCCGTTCCCGTCATCAATCTTCCAAGTTGGACGTGAAGTCTTGCCGTCAAACATTATGGTGTTGCCAGCTTTGTCGGTCACCGGGTGTGGGGTTGGGGTTGGTTGTGGAGTTGACTTGGGAGCTTTTCGTGTGCGTTTTGATGCGGGCTTTATGGTAGCCGATGCCGCGTTCTTGTGTGAAGGTGAGGTCATACCGGGACGTCGTTGTAGTGAATGTGTTAACTCAAGCGACGTTGGAACCTTGCAGTCAGATGTGAAGTAGGTAGTTTACCGAAGGAGCTAGATTGGAAAAGATGTGATCGAAGTTGGAAGAGTAGAAGAGAGGTTGAACGAATGTTAATAAATAGACGGCAGAGGGAGCGAGTAGTGAATGCTAGAGCCACTGAGTGTGTGTTTGTCTCGTTTGTGCTGCTTTCGGGAGAGGCAGTCGCGACTCGACGACTCGTGATAGTGGCAGATGACACTAGTCGTAAGTAACACTCAAGGGCCTTCTTGCCAGGGCAATGGTCGACACGCGTCTAGGTTACGGATGGCTCAAAGGCAAGTTACGGGCCTGCACAATGTGTCGGTACGCATATACCCGTGAGTCCGTCAAAATTGGATCAGCGGGGAGCATAGATGCTGGGAGGATATATGAAGGTGTTTCTCGCCTCAGTGGCATACTCCTCCATGACTACCTGCGTATGTAAAGTAAGTATACCTTTAGAGCCATTCTCATACCCATGGCACTTTAATAATGCGGTTACAATGGATATAGAGCAGTGCAGACGAATAACTGTGCCCTTAATGGTCTCAAAGCGATCTTTGACAACACGGATCTCACGCCTGTGAAGGGCTTCGGGTACTGTTCGCCATGTATGATCTAGCTTTTCAATTATACAGATGGACCGGTGGCACGACGTATATACCTCAAGTCTATTGTAAGAAGTATCGACCTGAAACTTAAAGACGTGGCCGCACCGCGATGAGGCCGAATGCTGACAAAAGCGACAACATGGCTGGGGAATGGCAAAAACTCCCAAGCGAACTTGGGAGACATGACAGAGGACATACGCGGCAGATGTATCGCCAATGGAGCTTTGCATCCTCCTGCAAGGCCGGGTTCACGCGCTGTGGACGCGAAATCTCGTACAAGAGAATCCGACCAATCAGGCGCGTGGATTACCCACTACTGAGGGGACACGGCCCTTGCGGCAGGGCGAAGCGTGTGCAGGCAGAGCGATTGAGCAGCGAGCGGGCAGGAATGCATCGAGAGAGAGTCATGGATTGACCAGCAGGTGCGAGCTAAAGTGCCTGATCGATGTGCTGTGTCGAAGTCGATGATGTTGAGGGGAGCATCGGCCAATGAGGGCGGCCGCTAGTCCAATTACGAAGGCAAGTGAACCTTCAATCCTCCGCCAACCTCCACCCGCAACCTGCATAACCACCACCTACCCACCACATTGCCTGCGGGCACCACCCCATCTCACAACAACATACTCTCGGTCGCCACCATGCTTGCCCGGCACGCGCCCGCGACCCAGGTCCTCTCCGGCGCCACGCACCGCGTCCTGCCCTCGGCCTCGACCGCCGCCCGTCTTTCCGCCACTACCTCGTCGGCCCGCACCCAGCGGAGAAGCCTCGCGACCGTCCAGGACGCCCCCGTCCACCGCCACGGCGGCCTCAAGGACCAGGACCGCATCTTCCAGAACCTCTACGGCCACCATGGCGCCGACCTCAAGAGCGCCATGAAGTACGGCGACTGGCACAAGACCAAGGAGATTGTCCTCAAGGGCCACGAATGGGTGCGTCTTCATCAATGGCTGGGGCAATGCGTGCTGGACTCTTGCTGATCGACTTGGCGTACAGATCATTTCCGAGATCAAGGCCTCTGGCCTGCGTGGCCGTGGTGGCGCCGGTTTCCCCTCGGGCATGAAGTGGTCTTTCATGAACTTCAAGGATTGGGACAAGGACAACAAGCCGCGCTACCTGGTCGTCAACGCCGACGAGGGTGAGCCCGGCACGTGCAAGGACCGTGAGATTATGCGCAAGGACCCGCACAAGCTCATCGAGGGCTGTCTGGTTGCCGGCCGTGCCATGAACTGCACGGCCGCATACATCTACATCCGTGGCGAGTTCTACCACGAGGCGACGGTCCTGCAGCGCGCCATCCAGGAGGCCTACCAGGCCGGCCTGATTGGCAAGAACGCCTGCGGCTCTGGCTACGACTTTGACGTCTACATCCACCGTGGAATGGGCGCCTACGTCTGCGGCGAGGAGACGTCGCTGATTGAGTCCCTGGAGGGCAAGCCCGGCAAGCCCCGCCTGAAGCCTCCTTTCCCCGCTGCCGTGGGTCTGTTCGGCTGCCCCTCGACCGTTGCCAACGTCGAGACCATTGCCGTCGCGCCCACCATTTGCCGTCGCGGTGGCAACTGGTTCAACTCATTCGGCCGCGAAAGGAACGCAGGCACCAAGCTCTTCTGTATCTCGGGCCACGTCAACAACCCTTGCACTGTTGAGGAGGAGATGTCGATCCCGCTGCGCGAGCTGATCGACAAGCACTGCGGCGGCGTGCGCGGCGGCTGGGACAACCTGAAGGCGGTGATCCCTGGCGGGTCATCGACGCCGATTCTGCCAAAGCACGTGTGCGACGAGCAGCTGATGGACTTTGACGCGCTCAAGGACTCGCAGTCGGGTCTGGGCACGGCGGCCGTCATCGTCATGGACCAGTCGACGGACGTGGTGCGCGCCATTTCGCGCCTGAGCAAGTTCTACAAGCACGAGTCGTGCGGCCAGTGCACGCCGTGCCGCGAGGGCTCCAAGTGGACCTATCAGATCATGCAGCGCTTCGAGAAGGGCCAGGCCCGTGACCGCGAAATCGACATGCTTCAGGAGCTGACCAAGCAGGTCGAGGGCCACACCATTTGCGCTCTGGGTGAGGCTTTTGCCTGGCCCCTTCAGGGCTTGATCCGTCATTTCCGTCCTGAGCTTGAGGCTAGGATAAAGGACTTTTCGGCCAAGAACGGCGGCATGCCGCTCGCGGGTGGTTGGGCTCATGACACTGGAAAGAAGGGCGGTCTGGTTGCTCCGGGACAGTAGAGTGGGGTTTTCTCTAGGCAGAAAAGAGTGAGCATGGGAGGGGGAGAGGGGTTTTAGATGGGGGAGGGAAGCTGGATTGTACATTGACCCTGTGATTACTTGGTCGTTTTTCTCGTTTGCATTCTTACTGTTAGTTTAGCAATGGTTGTCTGTCTGTTTGTCCGTGTCTGGTTGTCTGTGTTTGCTGACCCGTTCCTCCACCGTCTGTATCGTACATACACTGCCCTGCCACAAACACCCACTCAGGCAGTCTTTGACCACACACGCACACACCCAACGACATCAACATGAACACAAGCCTAACACACCCACCCCGCACGCAGCCCAAACCCCTCACCCTCCTAAATCAACAATCAACAATCAACAACAAAACACCACAAAGGCCACAGCTGAGACCAAGCCTAAAAACAAGCCAAGCCAAGACAAGACAAGCCAAGAACAGAGCAGAGCAGATCAGTGAAAAGTGTGGTATATTGCCAAAACACGCCAAAACCAGACTCCTAAAACGCCACGAGCCGGGTTGTTTTTTGTTTTCTTGCGGTTCCTGTGCGCCCAAACGCCGTGCGGATAGTGGGTTAAGGGTAGAGGGCCTCGCCTCAAATGGGACCGCTGGGCTGATGGGCTGCTATATGGTGCAGGGAAGCGTTGGGGAGGGACTGTTTGTGTGAGGCGCGCTTGCAGGTAGTCCCGCTGGCGGGCTGCGTGCGCGCGCTTCCTTGCGGGACAGCAACAGGGCGACAAGAAGCTCTTTGTGCGTCCACTCAGCCCGCAGCGCGCATAGTCACGTCCATCTCAAGCAATCCGCACGCAAGCGCCGGCAACTCTCCCCCATCCTTCCTCCCTCCCTCCCTCCTCCTCGCCTCATCAACCCAAACAAATGCCCACAAATTCGTCCTTCCCAATCGCGCCATCCCCATCAAGATCAAACTCCTCAATCATAGCCACCAGCTCCTCCTCCTGCAGCCCCTCGCCCAGCTCGCGCGCCACGCGCCGCAGGTCCGCCAGCGTGATGCTGCCTTTTGCGCCGTCGTCGAAGAGCTCAAAGGCGCGGAGGATCTCGTCGCGCGGGTCGCGGGTGAGCATGCGGTGGGCCATGAGGGCCTGGAAGGCGGCGAGCGGGAGCAGCAGGCGCGAGGGGCCCGTGAAGGCTGGTGGGGCGGTTGTGCTGGTGGTGGGGGGTTTGGCTTTGGCGCCTGCTTGGGCGGGCTGGGTGAGTGTGGTTGCGGGGACGCTGCGAGGGGTGCGTGTTAGTGGGTGCGGATTTGTTTGGGGTTTCTTTGAGAGGTGCACACGAACCCGGTTGCGCGCAGGATGTTGAGGATTTCTTGTTTGGGGAGGTCGAAGCCGAGGGCTTTCATGGCGACTTTGAGCTCGTGGTAGTCGATGTGGCCGTCCTTGTCGAGGTCGAAGAGTTGGAACTGTCCAGATATATTTAGTTATTGTTCTTTACTGTCCATTGGGAAGAAGGCCAGCTTACTGCCTCGTTGATCTCCTCCCTCTGCTCGTCGCTCAGATCAGCTATATCCCCGCGCCCTTGCTGCTCCAAACGCTCCCTCTCTGCGCGCTCAGCCCGCTCGCGCTCCAACCGCTGCGCCTCGCGGTGCTGGTGCGAAGGGCCGGCGGGGGCGCCGAAGCCCGCGGCGGCCGACGAGGCGTTGAAGGCGTTGGAGGGCGCGGCGGCGGGATTCGCAGCGCCGGCATTGCGGCCCAGGCCGCTGGCGCCGTAGGTACGACCGGAGAAGTTGGCCGTCGCCATGAGTGTGGGTGGGAGGGTGCAATGGGGTGTGGGGGGGTTGAGCAGCGAGTAGCACTGCACTGGAGCTCTCTTTGTGTTGGCGGGGAGACGCGTCTGCTGCAGGGCTTGGCTGGCTGGCGCGCGCCGTGTTGGTGGAGCGTGTTGTGGCGACGCAAGGTACAACAGGCGGCGGGATACACACAGGGATCACGGGCGCTGCTGCTTTGCGCGTGGTTTAAGCTTCTTTCGACGCAGCGACGAAGGCCGAGGCCGAGGGGAAAGGATTGTCCGCTGCACTACTGTTGCAGGCAACCGCAGGCAGTCATCGACAGTTTGCTGCCTGATGCCTGATGGCTGCCTGGACTGGTGACGCGCTGCACATTTAAAAAAGAACCACATCCTCACACAAACACACACTCTCTCCTCACTCAACTACTACTTCGTGTCAATCTTCAAAAGTAGTCTTAGGTACAATACTTGCTAGCGTGACGTGATCCTACAAGTAAACTGAAAGTGACTGGCGATCGAGTGGCTTGACAAGACATCACGTGCCGTGCTGCATGGGCCTGAAATCCCTCCGCCGCCGACACTCACCCAAAGCTCTTCCATCGCCATCGCCCTTCTGCCACGTCGTCGCGCAGCCCCATACCCTCTCTCGACATCGTCATTCTTTGCGGCGAGTCGAGCCATCTTGTCTGCTTGGCCTTGTGGATACCGCGTGGCCCGACGTCCAATTGTCTCGCGTTTGACGTAGCATTTCACCTCCTCCTTGGCGCGCGTCGCGACGACGTCCCAGCGCACAATTCTGTTCGCGCACCCCCATATTCACACATCGTACCCCCCCATCGCATCTGCACTTGCGCGTCGCTCCTTGACAGCGCGCCATGTCGGGCTTCGGCGGCTTTGGTGGCTTCGGCTCCCAAAACAACAACACCCAAGGCTCCGGCTTTGGTGGCTTTGGCTCCTCTGCCGGCAGCAACACGGGCACAGGTAAGCCTCTTGCTGTTATCCTTGTATCCCACTCCGGCCGATCCGCGCGCGATTCGACCCTGGAGCCTTTTCGACCTGTGCGCGACGTCAGATCATCCCAGGGTTAACATGGCCTTCCCCGCAACTCCAGGCTTTGGTGGCTTCGGCAGCTCCAACAACAACACCACCGGCGGCAGCATCTTTGGTGGTGGTGGCGCCAACACTGGTGGCGGCTTCGGCAGCGGAGGTACGTCACCGCGTCGGTCTGGGAGGCCCTTTCACCTGCGTCTCGCTACTTTGCGACACGCGTGTTTGCGACATTCACCTTAACACTGCGCCATTCACCTTGGCCTAGCGCACGTCCCTGGCGCGCCGTCCTTTCCTTATAACCCTCGCGCTCGACACTTGGCTTCTTTCCTTTTGGTCCTTCAACCTCCGCAACCATGTCTCGGCCTGCGCGCACAAAGTCTGCCTCTGGGAACACTCCACTAATGCTGCCACCTATAGGTTTCGGAAGCACAAACACGACTTCGCCTTTCGGCGCGAAGCCCGCCTTTGGCGCAACAAACACGTCCACGAGCGGTAGCATCTTCGGCGGCGGCACCGCGACCTCGGGCTCCACTGGATTTGGCGGTGGAGGGTTCGGCAGCACTGCGAATACTGGCTCGACTGGTTTCGGCGGCAACGCCGCTGGCGGCGGCGGTGGTCTCTTCGGTCAAAACAAGCCTGCTTTCGGGTCGGGTACGACGGGGACAGGTGGGCTTTTCGGTGGCGGCAGCGCGCCAGCTACCGGTACCCCCGCTTTCGGTGCCGGCGCTAGCACAGCCTTTGGTGGTGGTCTTGCGCAGAATACTAACAACGGTACTGCCGGCACACCCTTCCAGGCTCACATTGAGAAGGACGGTGCCACCAGCCAAAACGCGCATTACCAGACCATCACGTTCCAGCAACCTTACCAGGGCTTCTCGCTTGAGGAACTGAGACTGCAAGACTACGCGCAGGGCCGACGCTACGGCAACTCGAACGGCCAGGCAGGCGCCTTTGGCACAAGCACTGGTTTTGGCGGATTCGGCGCCAACACCAACACAGCCAACACTGGCACAGGTTTCGGCTCGAACACGAATACCGGCGGCGGTTTGTTCGGCGGCAACACCAACACGACGACTCCCTTTGGCGGTGGTGCTCAGAACACGGGCACGGGATTCGGCAGCAACACTGGTGGTGGACTGTTTGGCCAGAACAAGCCCGCAACTGGACTCTTCGGAGGTTCCACGGCTACGTCTTCGCAGCCTTCTGGAGGAGGACTCTTTGGTACGGCGAACAACACGTCGACTCCCGCTTTCGGTGGCGGAGCGACGGGAGGGTTTGGAAGCAACACCAGCGGTGGTGGTTTGTTCGGAAGCAACCAGAACCAGCAAAAGCCTGCGTTTGGTGGCTTTGGTGCTAGCACGACTGGCACTGGCACTGGCACTGGTACTGGCTTTGGTGCCTCAACTACCGGCTTTGGAAGCAACACCAATACTTCTACCGGAGGTGGTTTGTTCGGTGGCGCTAGCAACACGACTACTCCGGCCTTTGGTGCCAACAACAACACTCAGCAAAACTCGAACCCCTTCGGCGGCTTTGGTGGCCAAAACCAACAACAGAACCAAGGCAACACTACGGGAGGCAGTTTGTTCGGCGGAGGATTTGGTGCGAACAACAATCAACAGCAACAACCCCAGAACAAGCCTCTCTTCGGCGGCAGCACCGGTGCTACTGGCGGTGGAGGATTGTTTGGTGGCGGTGCGAACACAAACACAAACACCGGTGGCGGTGGTCTCTTTGGCGGCGCAAACAACACGTCTAACACGGGCGGCGGTCTCTTTGGTGGTGCCAAGCCTGCGACAAACACGGGTGGCACTGGTCTGTTTGGAAACACCAACACCCAGACAAACACGGGTGGAGGTTTGTTTGGCGGCTTAGGTCAAAACAACCAAACTCAGCAAAACACCGGTGGCGGCCTCTTTGGTGGCGCTCAGCAGCAAAACAAACCTGGTGGACTATTCGGTTCTTCAACCAACACCTCCGGCACTGGTGGTGGTCTCTTCGGAAACATGGGCCAAAACAACACCGGCAACACCTCTGGCGGTCTCGGTGGCTCTTTGTTCGGTGGAAACCAGCAACAACCCCAACAGCAGAACCAACTGGGCGGCAGTCTCTTTGGCGGCTCCGTGAACCAGCAGAACCCCAACCAGGCTCCTGCTTTGACCGCTTCCATGGCCGCCGGCTCCAACCCCTACGGCAATGACCAGCTCTTTGCCAGCCTTGGTTCTCCAAACCAGAGTGCTGGACCTTTGGCGACTCCTTTGTCGAGCAGCCAGAAGATGAAGAAGAGCGCCATTTTGCCTCAACACCGTATCAACCCTGCCGCGTCATCCCGTCTGATAACACCGCAGAAGCGCCTCAACGGCCTTGGCTTCAACTACTCCAGCTATGGAACGCCTGGTAGCACTGCGAGCAATGCCACTCCTGGCTTTAGCAGCAGTCTGCTTGGCGGTGGTAGCTTCTCGAAGTCTCTGTCGAAGAGTTTTTCGGCCTCGAACATTCGCAACAGTTGGTCGACGGAAGACAGCATTCTCTCTCCCGGCGCGTTCAATGCCACCAAGCGCCCGGCGTACTCCAACACTGGTAGTATGAAGAAATTGAACATTGATCGGGGTCTGAACGTTCGTCCCTCTCTCTTCGGTGAAAGCGGCGAGAGCACCAGCCCCAGCTCTGCCAGGAAGAGGGTCAGCTTTGATGCCAACACTGCCTTGAACAACGGCTCTTTGAATGGTACCAACGGCGCTCTTGTCCCAGCCGAGCGTGAGTCGGCCACTCCTAGCGCCGAGGAGCAAGGATATCTGCGCTCCAAGCCTACCACGCCGCAGTCCAACGGTACCTCTGCGAACGGCCACACGCCCGAGATGGAGCAGGTCGTCGGAAACAGCATTTCTACTGCTCCCCAGGACGATGCCTTTGAAGCTGCCAACGCTCAGGCTCGCAAGGCCCACAAAGACCAGAAGCCTGGCGAGTACTGGTCTGAGCCTAGCGTCGCCGAGTTGAAGAAGATGAGCGCGCAGGAGCTCAAGTCTCTTCGGGATTTCAAGGTCGGTCGCAAGGGTGTTGGTGAAATCATATTTGAGCACCCAGTTGACCTGACGGGTGTGAATCTTGACACTTTCTTCGACGAGCTTGTGTTGCTCAGGATTCGCAACGCTACAGTTTACCCCTCTAAGACGCAGACGCCTCCGATGGGTAAGGGTCTCAACGTTCCTTCTACGATCCTCCTGGAGAACTCTTGGCCTCGTGCTCAGGCTGGCAAGCTCGAGCAGGCTGGTAGACGTTTCGAAAAGCATGTCGAACGCCTTAAGAAGGTCGAAGGCACCGACTTCCTTGACTACAACAAGGACTTGGGTATTTGGAAGTTCCATGTTGAGCACTATACCACTTATGGCCTGGACTACGATGAGGAGGAGGATGAGGAGGAAGAGGAGACGACTATGCTCCATGCCCCTCCTGACACGCCCACCCCCAAGACCCGCACCCCGGCAGGTCTCAGCGCTCTGTCGCACCTCTCTGAGGACATGACCGTCAGCACCAACGCGTCCGACCCAGACGACACTTTTGAGTTCAAGAGAAGCCAGCGCTCGGTTGCGCCGCGGAGGAACGTCCCCGGTGGTTTTGACGACGAGGACGCTTACTACGAGGATGACGACATGGTCGAAGTTCGGGACGACACCATCAACAGCTCGCAGTCTTTTTTAGATGAGCGCTCCGTGGGTCCCTTTGAGGATGGTAGCGACATGGAAGATGTCGCGTCCTACCACAGCGGATCCGATTCGGAAATGGAACAGAACATGGCGGGTTCGTTTCCAGTTCTGGATCAAACCACGGAGCTATCGCACGCCAAGAACCCGGTTTCCACCGCTCCAAGCTTGCCCAAGTCTATTCTCAAGGCTAGTCGTTCTGGATTCGGCACTCCCACCAAGGGTGCCTTTGATTTTGGGGGTGACTGGACTGAGCAGTTGCAACGCACGGTCAGCCCAAAGAAGCAGGACCGTCAGGCGCTCCGCGACAACCAGGGCATTGCCTTGAAGCAGCTTGACGACAAGAACGACGCTACACCAAAGGCCTCGGACAAGTCGAAGCCTTTTTCCACCAGCATCGACGTGATGAACTCACTTTTCGGGCAGAGTACGGCACGCAGGAGTACTCGCGAGCAGGGGACAAAAGCAAAGGGGCTCGAGGTTTGATTCCACCATCCTTGTTTATTGTTCGTTATGGGTTTGGGCGTGGCGTCTGGCACCTTTTTGGACATGTCGACATATTGATTAGAGGGCCAGACGTTGCGCCCGCTCATGTACGTAGCACAATTTGAGATAATAAGTTACTGAGATTTGTGTTTTTACAGTGGCCTTATGCTAAGAAGCCCAAGACTGGTGAGGAACTTGCCGCTTTGGACGACGCCGACAAGGCTTTTCACGAGTCTTTCAAGCCGACCTGGACATTTGACGGTACTCTGACCTATGCTACTCCGGGTAACACGCCGAGGATGCAGGGCGACTTTCTTGCCAACCTCAAGGGTTCGGTAGTTGGTCAGCACCGGGATATTCGCTTTGCGAAATTTTCCGCTCCGACCGATGTAAGTCTTTGAATTCGTTTACGAAACGTATCTAACATTCTATAGATTTGGCCGGCTGTGATGGACGAGCAGGCGCAGGCAAAGAACACGCCAGTGTTTCTAGACCCTGCGGAAGAGGCTCCCCGGGCGAAGACGTATGAGATTGCCTTTAAGGACCTTGTCAATGTCGTCGAAGTCGACACTCCAGCTGGGAAATACGAGCAGCAAGTCTGGCAGCTTGCTAGTATTCTGTTCGACGATCCGGCTGATCTTCGCCCTCATGGCGCTCCGCGGTTTGATAGTCTGGATCACGTTGAGAGCCTGGTTCGCAAGGACGCCCTTTCGGAATTTTGGAAGTCGATCATCCTACCTGATGCGGATCGTCAAGCGCGCCAAGCCAAGTCTTCCGAGGAAAAGGCCATTGCGCACTTGTCCAGCTACAGCGTCGCTGAGGCTTGCGAGGCGCTCATCGAAGGCAAGGATTTCCGTCTGGCCACCCTCGTCGCGCAAATTGGTGGCGCGCAATCCGCTCGTCAGGACATTGCTGCTCAACTTGAGGAATGGCGTAACCAGGGCACCATCTCAGAGATGAGCGATGCGGTGCGAGTGCTCTACACTATTCTCTCAGGCGAGTGTTCCGTCGCTGACGGCAAGACGGGCGGCGGTGCCGAGAACAAGGCTGAAGATATTAGAATCTCCACGCGCTTTGGGTTTGACTGGCGCCAAGCCTTTGGCCTGCGTCTGTGGTATGCCTGCTCGTCGGACCGCTTCAATGAGGAGTCGATCGAAGAGGCCGTCAAGCGCTTCGAGGAGGAGCTCCGCGACGGGGATGAACACGCCAAACCGGTGCCATGGTTCATCCGGGCTGGTGTCAAGACGGGCTGGGAGGACCCGCAGCCCAACGAGCGGGAGGACCTGCTCTGGGGTCTTCTGAAAATCTACCGCTCCTACTGCATTCGCGAGCCTGTTGACATTGCTGCGATTCTTGCGCCTGAGAACGCGACCGGCAACCCCGTCAACGCGCGTCTCAGTTGGCAGCTGCTGTGCCTTTTGCGCGCCAAGGAGGTTCTCCCACGCCTGGCCATCACGGCAGACGACAACTACGACCCATCGGACGCGGACATTTGGAACGCGCGCGAAATCACAAAGCTCTCAGACACGCTGACGTCGACGTTTGCGCTGCCCCTGCTGACGCCCGAGCACTGGCTGCACGCGCTATGGGTGCTGATCCACCTAACGGAAGAAACGGAGCGCACAGCCGCAATCAAAGACCTGCTGGCCTTCAACGCGGCGCGCATCGGCGACGACGCCGATACCGACGCCGTCTTCGCTCACCTCACCACGGGCCTCCAAATCAGCAGCACGTGGATCTACGAAGCGAAGGCGCAGCACGCCCGCGCCGTCCTGCAAGATCCAGTGCGCGAGACGCAGTTCCTCCTCCTCGCGGGCAACTACAACGCCGCGCACAGCGTGCTCTGCCGGGCCGTCGCGCCCGCCGCCGTCATCTCCAACGCGCCGGAAGACGCGGCGGCGCTGCGTTCGCTGCTCGCGCGCTTTTCGGAAGCCGGGCCCGCGGCCCTCGACGCCGTCGAGGCTTGGGCCCATGGCGGCGCCATGTACGCGGACTATCTGGCGCTGCTGGATGCAGACGCCCAGTTCGCTGCTCCTGCCCCGGTTGAGCCGCTGCGCAGACTGGCCCGCGCGCTCGCGGCGCTGAGTCCGGACTTGAGCTCCAGGGAGCTGGTGGAGCGGGCGGCGGTGGCGGAGATGGCGCGCGTGGTTGCGGCGAGGGTGGAGGCGGGTGAGCGGGCTCAGCGGGCCGCGAGGGGTGCTGCTAGTGGGGCAGGGGCAGAAGCGTTGGGCATTGAGCGGGCGCAGGTGCTGCGGCTGCCGTTGGCTGAGGAGGCGGTGTTGGGTGCGGGGCGGGAGTTGGGGCTGCGGTATTACGAGAGCGTTATGGCGGGGGGGAGGTAGTGTGTACAGGACGATGCGGCACGAGAGCGAGAGCGAGAGCGATATCAGGCAGATGGCTGAAATGAATGGGTGGTGGGTGGTGGATACCTAGGTTGATTCAAAAAAGCGCGATACGATGCGGTGATGGGTGATGGTCGATGCGAGGGTTTGATTGCTTGGTTGTTTGTTTGCTTGCTTGCTTGGTTGTTTGTAGCGTAGTTTAGTTCAGATCAGTTCAGTTCAGTTAGGTCTGGGTATTTGACGAGGGGTTGCTTTTGCTTTTCTTCGAGGGGTGCTTGTGCGGGCTTGGTGTGCTGTGTGAGTGAGTATGAAGACGGAGACGGGTACGGAGGAGGCGATAGGTAGGTAGCGATGCATCCTATCGATGGGAGGAAAGGTGGACATGGGAATGACAACCATTGCAGAAGGCACAAGGCATGGATGGATATATGACGAATATACGTGCATGGCAGCCAGCAGCCAGCAGCCAGCAGCCAGCCACTCCGAATCCGACATTTTGATGATTAAAACCCAAACCCCCAAACCCAAACTCTGCACAAGAAAGGTATACCCCCAAAACCCCATTAATACACGTCCCCCCAATCCACACACACCTCCTCCCCTTCCTCCGCCACACCAACCCCCCGCTTCTCCCTCTTCCGGCGCTCCCGCCGCTCCTCCCGCGTCACCAGATGCGGCGTCACAGGCGTCACGGGCGAAAACGGCATGTACGGGGAATACGGCGTGGCGGGGCCGGCCGTGCCCGGCGTGCGCAGGTGGGCGAGCCGCGGGTCGCGGCTACGCGTGCTGAGGACCGTCGTCTTTGTCGTTGGGGAGGGCAGGGAGGGGGAGAGCGGGCCGGCCATGGCGCGCAGCGGGAGCGTGTTCGTCGTGGTGGTGTGCGCGCCTGCTGCTGCTGCTGCTGTCGTGCTGGCAGGGCTGGGCGCCGTGGCCGTGTTGATGGACCCGCTGCGCGCGCTCGCCGAGCGCGACCCCGCTCCCAGCCCTGGGCGCGCGGGCGGCGGCGAGGCTAGGAACGCTATGTGCGTGTGGCCGTGGCTGTGGGGACCGGGCGTCGAGGCGGGCGAAGGCGGGAGGGGCGGCGCGTTCGCGGACGCCGGGGACGGCGAGGGCGGCAGCCCCAGGGAGCCACTCGAGGCGCGGGCGCCCGCGTACGCCGAGGCGCCGCTGACGGCGCGCTGGGGTGCCGGTCTAGGGAGAGGGAGAGGCGCAGGGGGTGGGTAAGGGTAAGGGTGCGATTGGCTCTGCAGGCTTGCGTCGAACTCGTAGCGGAAGGCGTCGGCGGTCGAGGGCGTCGTGGGCGCGGTGCTGGTGGTGGTGGTGGCTGCGCCGGGCGTCATCTGCGCGTCGGCGGGCGTATAAGGCGGCTGCGGCGGGGGGCCCGGGTTGTAGAAGCGTGGGGAGAGCGGGGTGCGCGCTTCGAGGTCGTCGTCGTCGTGCCCGTTGTCGCCGCCGTGGCCGCTGAAGCGCGCCATGGGGCTGCTGATGCGCAGGTTGCGGATCGAGCGCCGCTTCTTGCTCTTGCTTTTTGTGCCAGTCGAGCTGGTCGAGGGCGTGCGCGCGCGCGACATGAAGCTGCGGGGGGAGGCGGGCGGAGGCGGCGCTGCCGGTGCTGGTGCTGTGTTACTAGTGGCGCTGTTGTAGCTGTTGCTGTAGTAGTGCGAAGGCGCGTTGTACGGCGCGCGCCGCGCAGCAGCCATGGGCGACTCGGGCGGGTAGATGGCGCGGACGGGGCTGAGGGGCGAGGGCGGCGGCGGCGGCTGGTGGTGGTGCACGGGGCGAGACTGCAGAGCAGCAGCGGCATTGGTGTTGAGGGGCGGGGGGCGGCGGTCCATCTTCTGCTGCGGGCTGAGATAGGTGGGCGGCGCGGGCAGCATGACATCCTCGCGGGGCTGCTCGAGGTCGTGCTCCTCGGCGTGCGAGACGCGGACCGAGTTCTTGCGCTCGTCGTGCTCCATGACGGCGGCGTAGAGGCGGTCCATCTCGCGCTGGCGGGCCTCTTGCTGGTCGCGCAGAAACGTCTTGTCGAACGAGGCCATGCTCTCCTCGCCCGGGCTGATGGGGCTGGTGGGCAGGCTGCTGATCTGGTTCAGGCTGGAGCGGCTGCGCTGAAAGGCGTGGCTCAGCTTGCTCGGGCTGCGCGGCCACCACCGCCGCATCGACATGGACGGCGACACGGGCGTCATCTCGAAGCCATTGGCCTCGTTGACCTTGACCATGTCGATCTTCTCGTTGATGGAGCGGCGCATCTTGCGGCCGTAGGTGAGCAGGGCCACGCCGACAATGACTACGCAGCCAATGTAGGCGGCGATGATGGCGCAGATCTGGGCGGGCAGACGCGACCGGTCGCGGAGGGCGTTCTCGGCGCCGGGGGCGGGATTGAGGTCGAAGTCGACGTCGAAGAGGCCGGCTGAAACGGGCTGGGCGGCTTGGAGGAGTACTGCTGCTACTGCTGCTGCGACGACTCCTCTAGGGAGCAACATGGGAGACAGAGGCTCGAGGACAGGGTTGCTGCGACTTTGAAGGGGGATTTGGAGGCACGAGCGGGACGCGGGACATGGGGATTTGTATATGGGCTGGGAAGAAGTCGTCGTCGGGCGAGCCAGTGAGAGCAGCAGAAGGCCATGGGTGGCTGTGATTGGATCGCCCATGCACAGCCTAAGCGCCCGCCCATGCTCGGCCCAACCTGGCTCGCCACGCTGCGAGCTCTTCGTGGGCCGACGCGTCCATGTGGAGGGTTGAGAGCCTTGGGTTCGTGAGCCGATATTGACTTGTATGTACCTTCATTTACACCTACATTGCTGTTGTCGTCGTCGTTTATCTAGAAACGAAACATGTTTACCAGGTACCTAAGCGCCCGGGCGCCTCCCGACTCCCAAATCCGCGCCGATCCCTCTCGGTCCGGCCGCCTCGTCACTGTGATATGGCCCAAGTCACACCGTGTGCTTTTGTGCTTCCATGCTTCCATGTCGTGCACCATCCCCGTCCGTCAGCCGAGCCTTCTTCCCCGCCGCTCCCAATTCGCTCGTCCGATTCTTCCATTTCCTCAGCTTCCTCCGTCCAGCTCCGTCTTCACTTCTACAACGCGACAGCCACGAAGCAATGCGATGCAATTCAACAACATGCACATGCACCCTGCTCCATTCATCCGTGATACTAGGTAGCAGTGAGCTGTGCCATGTACTCCTACGCGACGTGCAACTCCATACCGAGTACACACACACAACCAACTGGCCCACAAGGCGAAAGAAGAAAACATGTCCCCGTCCATCCGGTGCGCCATCTGCCCACCCTGATATCTTGCGCCAAAAGCCACGAGCAGGAAGATAATGAAGAAAGAAGAGACGCGGAAAGCCAGGATAGGCACATCGTGGTAGATAGCTAGAAAGAGGGAGAGGCAGGGAATGAGCAAAACGATCGTGCATGCCAGAGCCAAAGCAAAGAACAACAGAAAGAAAAAAAGAAAAGAAAAAAAGACTCCTTGGTCGTCATATCATGCCGTGCCCTACCGCGCCAAACCACGCCCTAAACACATACACCACAGCTCCAAAGCAAGTGCAAATCCCAAAGCCCACAACGCAAGCAAGTCAAGCCAAAGAGCCCCGAACCAGCCAGCCAGACAGACAGATGCACTCTATGCCCTCCGTCCAATCCTCCTCCTACCGCTTTCCGCAGCCCCAGCAGCAGCAGCAGCAGCAGCAGCAGCAGCAACCCCCGCCTTCGGCGCAGCCAGCTTCTTCGGCGCCGCCGCTGTCGCCGGGCGCGCGGCCTTGTTCTCCTTCGCGCTCGCAGGCGGCATGTTCTGCACCGGCACCGGCGTCGTCGACGTGCTTCCCACCGGCACAGGCAGCTTGACCTTCTTCGGCGTCGCGAGACGGCTCTTTTTGCTCGCCGCCGGGGTGGGTAGCTGCGAGATCTGAGGCGCCTTTGCTGCTTCCGAGACAGCAGGAGCGTCTTTGGATTGCGTCTGCGTGTCTGTGGGGGTGGAGGCTTTGGTCGCCCTCTCATTCGAGGCGGTGCCTGCGTTGGGCTTCGGGATAGACTTTTTGCTGGAAGCCGACTTCTTGGAGCTGGGTTTGGCCGCCGTCGCCGTCGCCGCCGTGTGCGCTTCTTTTTCGGCCTGCACTTCTGGGGGCAAGAGGCTCGCAGGTGCGAGAAGGCCCTTGCCAGGCGTGCCGTTGCTAGTACCGAGACCTTTGGCGCGCTTAACCCGCGAGGGCGTTGCTTTGCTCTTCCGCGTGTCCTCGCCCGCTTTGAGGGCCAGTTCGTCTTCGGAGAGCGAGGGGTTCTTGTTCTCTTCCTGAAAATAGACCAGCTGCTGATCCCAGCGGAGCTTGCTGGCCAGCCAGATCTCTGCCCCCGGAGCTGGGTCCATCGCGCTGGAAGGATCTTTGTTTGATTTGGAAGACTTTAGAATCTCAGCCTTCAGTTTGTTCAGGCGTATCGGCGCAGCAAGAGCACTGCCTTTATTGCGTCGAGTGTTTGCGCGCGTCAGCGTGGCCACCTCTTGGGCTTCCGTCTTCTTCAGCACGACTGGCTCTGTGCCATCTGCACGACGCACGGGAATGCGGTTTGGAGCTGGAATAGCAGAGGGGACTGGGGTGCTAGGAATGCGAGTCTTGCGTGCACGCGCGCTCCTTCGCGTGTTTTGTGGTTCCTCTGTGGTCTCTGCCTTTTCGGCAGCTGCAGTCTGCGGTTCAAGGGAAAGGTCTGCAGTGATTTCAGTGTTGAAGTCGAGCTTCCTCGAGAGCGGCGTCTTGGCGGAGGTCGATTCCTCGGCGTCCTTGGATCTTCCCCTACGTGGCGATTCACCGGTAGGCGAGTTGGGGTCCTTGTCTTCAAGAGCGACACGCGGAGATGCGAGCGCCTGACGAACGACATCAGAGTCCCTACGGTTGGTGAAGGATTCCCTCCTAGCAATGTTCGCTGCCTTGCTTGCCTTGGAAGCATCCGCGCGAGATAAGAAATCCCGCAGGAAAGCAGTATCAGAGTCAAGGGGAGAAGTTGGTTCCTTCTTTTCCTCTACCGCGGAAGGAACGGCCTCGGGCATGCTCAGAGTGAGCGTGTCTGCAACAGCAGAAAACTTTGGTGAAGTGGCATCGGACAGAGATGGCGAAGGAAGGTTCGTGGTTTCCGTGTCGGCGAGAGCTTCAGGAGTCAAGGCCTCGAGTTTTTCAGCCTCCTCCATTTCTTCATCCGACAGAGAAGACAGATCACTTTCTTCGTCTTCCAACGGAGTTGTAGCCTCGACGTTGTTGCTCTCTGATTTCTCATTCATCTCAACTGAAGGCTCCTTGTTGTCAGCCGCAGTTTCACCCTCAACACTCTCTTTGCCAGTGCTCTCAGTTGGTTCCACGGAGTCTTCCACAGGCGTCTCCTCATGGTCGCTCATAACAGTGTCGATTTCAGTAGATGGAGCACTGTCATCTTTGCTGTCACTCGGCCCGGCTGGCTCATCTTCACGCTCAGATTCTGCCACTGTAACGGCAGTTTGCTCGCTCTCGATAGTTTCCACCGTGTCTTGCTTAGTGTCGTGAGGCTCCGTAATCTCCTTGGCCGAGTCAGAAGGAGCTTCAGCATCGGTTGAGACACCATGTCCTTCGTTGTCCTGTCCCTCTCCAGTGGAATGTTCGTAGTCTTCCGTCTGGACAATATCCGTTTCAATCGTTTCATATATCAAGCCCTCAGGCTCTTCCCCGGCTGATTCAGTATCGTCTTCCATTTGCTCGTCCATAAACTCGGCTCCAGAAGAAACCTGATCTTCCGCCACAGTGGAATCCTCCCCTGAAGCCGATGGTTCTTTTTCACCCTCGGACATTGTTGCGTCGGCAGTCTCTTCTATGGACTGAACAGGTGCCGGCGGAGCTCTCTTAACGGGACTGCGTGCGATCTCGTCCATGATCTGCCGAGTGGGAGAGGAAGGAGGAGAGGACAGCTGATTGTCTTCTACAGCATGGGGGCTTTCTGCGTGGTGTTCAGCGGGCTGCGGCTCAGTGGACTCGGTGGTCGGCTCTTTGGTCGGTTCGTCTGGGACGGCCCGGGCCTGGGCCAGTTTCCCTGTCGTCACAGTTAAGATAACGCGCGAGCATGTGCGATTTGCTGCGGGCACCCACTAGGCAATAGTCCGCTCATCCGTCTCTCAAAGCGCGTTGCGGCGAACGCCTTGTTCTTCGGTCTGGTCCTGCCAGGCGTCGCGTTGGCCTCCATCTTGCTCTCCAAGGCGCGCTTCTTGACAACCTTCTTCGGACTTTTCGCCGGGCTCTTCTGGCCTTTCTCTTGGGTGACGGCGGCCTTTGTCTTGGAGCGCGTCTCGTGTCGCTTCCAGACCTTGCGATATTTTCCATTGCGCGCAAAGGGCGAGTGTGGTGCGCGCTCCCAGGCGCGCGGGGCCTTGGGCAAGGGAATCGAGGGCTTCAGGAACGATGCGTCATTCTGTTCCCAGGCAGCGGCGTCGAAGGAAGCTGCAGCGGGCTGCGCCTGCCCCGGCGGTGGGGGCGTGGTGGAGGTGGTGGCGGTCATGATGATACTGTCATAGGATAATGCAGTAGCAGATAAAGCGCGGCCAAGTTGCGCGCAGTCACTGAACGGGCGGAGTCGGTAGGTCTGGCGGGGATGGTGTTTTGGCTGCGTTGTCGATGTAAACACACTGCGGATCCGCCAAGCCTGCGTCGCCGAAACTCCGAACGCCTCGAGATTTTGGTCCCCGCCCGCGCTTCACCATCACCAACACCTCTCCCAAGCCGTCGCAATGCCTCCACCAAAGCCGTCCACCGGCCGCGTCGCCGCCCGTCCTCTCCCGCCTCTGCCCAAGCTGCGCGTGCGCCACCCCAACAAGACCGAGGGCAACCCGTGCATGGGTCTGATGTCGTCCGTTCTGGGTACGTGCCACATCGCAGTCTTCGCCGATGGATGTAGAAGAACGAAAGAGCTTGGGCGGAGAACTGGCGGGATAATACCACTTGCGTTTACTGACATTCGTCTCAGGTTGCTGGGCTTCTTCGGGTTACAGTGCTGCGGGATGCGCTGCGGTTGAGCAGCAGCTGAGAGCTTGCATGGATGCGCCGGTACGTCGAATTGCGGAACGGATGCGATCTCTTTGCATCTATGCGCTTAGAATTGGTCACTGACACCCGCCACAGAGACCCAAGCTCCAGAAGAAGAACGCCATCAACTACCACTTGTCGCGCATGTACCCCAACATCATTGGACCCCACAAGAAGAAATAAATACGTATCAAGAGATGTTTGTATAAAAGAATTTATGTTCGAGGGGATTGGAGGAATAAAGAGTCGAGGCATGCACTGCAGGAGTTATCATTGATGTGAACAGCATCTACGGCAGGAGTTAGGGCGGATATCTATACCACAGACTGGACTTGTACAAAATTCTTCCCTCTATCAAACGACGGATCCAAGTCTTTGGCATCGTCGCTATCGACCTGCGCAAAAGCGCTGCGAATGCGATTGTCGGGGTTCGAGTTTTCGGGAAGTACTGATTACCATTCAAATCGCGTGGTTGAGCTATGGTACAAGTACCTGTTGCCTATAAACAACACAGGGCAACTTGGTAGGATTTATAATGTTCATGGACTTTCTTCCTGATTCTTCCCGTTGATGGGTTAATGTCTCTGTTCTTTTTGCTCCCGCGCCGTGCATGTCTGTAGGGGATGCATTGTGCCGTGCATGCTTTGCCCTATCCCTCGTCTTTGCTCGTTGTGAGGCTTTACTTGCTGTATGTGAGGGGAGAACTGGCGCGCGCGCGTGTGTGGCGGTGGAAATCTGATACAAAGACCGCGAGCGAGCGCCTTTGAGGAATCGAGGCGGCGTAAGGATACAAGCTACGGCGCCTTCTATGGAGACGGGGAGAGGGCGCTGGGGTGCGGGCGCGGGTGGGGGGTTTGTGGGTGGAGTTGGAGGGTGGAGTTGGGTTTTGGGGAAAATATAAAAGTGCGCCGCCAGGCGGGGGTATAGGCGGTAATGATAGAGGAGGAGTAGAGAAGGGAATTGCTGGGGGAGCGGGGACGGGGATCGATTGTTTGGGTGTAGGGGCGTGTGTGCTGACGGGGGTGAGTTGGGGGGTACGTTTTTGGTGAAAATATAAAAGTGCGGCGCTCGGCTGCGGTAGGGGTGGAAAAGGTGGAGGAGTAGTAGAGAAGGAGTTTGCTAGGGGTGCGGGGGAGGGGGTCGGCTGTTTAGGTGTAGGGGCGTGATAAGAAGGGGTGGTGCTTGGGGGTGGTGTTTAGGGGGGAAATATAAAAAGTACGGCGCTATGCTGCGGTATAGGCGTAAAACGTGGAGAAGTAGAATAGAAACAGTTTGCTGGGGGAGAGCGGGCGGGGGTCGATTGTTTGAGTGTAGGGGCGTGTATAGTGTGTGTTGGGGGGACGCAGGAAGGAAGTTTTGGGCGGAAATATAAAAAGTGCGCGGCTAGGCCGGGGTATGCGCCGTAATGATGGGGGAAGAGAAGAAGCTGCTGGAGCGCAGAGGGGAGGCGGGGGGTCGGTTGTTTGGGGGTGAGTGCTGAGGGGTGGCCGTTGGGGGGAGGTAGGGTCTTGGGGAAAAAAGACGAAAATTGCGCGGCTAGGCCGGGGTGTAGGCGGTAATTGTCAAGAAGTAGAAGAAGCTGCTAGGGTAGCGGAGGGCGGCTAGGAGGTGCTTATTTAAGGGTAGGGGCGTAAGGAGGAGGAAGGGAATGGATGGGATTTCAAGGGTGAAAATATAAAAATTGCGCGGCTAGCCCGGGGTATGGGCGCGTACGAGTGTACGGAAGTGTTTTATGAGTGAGTATGAGGAGGAGAGGCTTTGGGCGCGGGACGATTGGGGGTGAGCGTGTGTGTGATGGGGAGGGTTGAGGTGCGGATGGAGGATGAGTGTAGGAGCAAAAGCTTAAAGAGTCTTAATGGAGTATGGGGCATGGACTTGGAGTGTGTAGCATCTTCTACGAAGCGTGGATATACGTGAATTAAAGGGGAATTGTTTGGGCTTGCGTTCGAATGCCTTGGCCAAGTTTTGTCACAGTGAAGTTTTATTTTATGTCGACTGGGCGAGAAAACACATAAGACCCCCCAATTAGATCTGCATGAGAGACAAGCTGGCGGAGAGGAGGTGTGCTGGGCTCGAGAAAAAGAAGTGGGAAGAATTCAAGAACGGGCTTTGTGAAAAAATAAGGAAGATTTATTCCTTATAATCGTCGTTACTACACTTCACTGATGAGGTGCATCTGCAGAGCATCGCGACGAATGTCATCAACAGGCGTAGCGAATTCCTCATCTTCGTGAATGAGGGACCCTAGAACTCATCTTGCTCGGCGTCTGTAAAGACACGTCGAGGTCGGTTGGGGTCTCACACACGTGAGAGACCGTCGTTGGTTGAAAATGGGGCTCAGTGCCATGACTGATGCTGACATGCCAACAAGGAATGCTTGCTGCCCAAGGCTAAAGATATATCTCGCCTTCGTTTCCCGGTCTTTCATTAACGTTGCCTTTCACATGCGCCCTCCACATCAATAAAATCACGTCACTCGAGCTTGGGCGGCCTAGCATTCGTTGAAGCCGTGTGATCTGGATTGATTGTCAGGGGCTGACAACGTGGTCACGTCCGCGATGTTCCAGTTCGCCCATCGGAGCCTGCCCGTTCTGCCATGTTTAGCATGCCCAAGCGCCGTTCTACGTTCGTGCAGAATCGAAGAATATTTTGCACCTTCAACCCTGAGATAGATTGGTTGCCGTTTACAGAGAACCACGTGAGGGACACGCCTCTTGAGTCTATCAGAGAAGCGACGGGATACTGTCCGTTTTGCCTAGAAAACCATCAGCCGATGCCTCAGTCTACTCTGAATGGAAACCTTCAAGTCACCCAGAGCGAGTAACCAACCCACCCAGTCCCTTCCTTGGGCGGAAAGCTCTGGATTGGTTTGAGGAGTTGCTGTTCCTCATCCCGATAAGCTCCGAGTCGGCTTGGATGGGTCCCTCCCGGTAAGCTTGAGTAGGCTTGGATGTCCTTCCTTCGATGGCTTCGAAGGTTTACCAGGTTCGTGGTGCTCTTTTACTTTTTGGACGGCTTTAAAAATGTTTCCAATCAAGGCCCGGAGTGCTTGCCGTTTGTCTTACCCACCAAGCTCTGGTAGACTTGAATGGTCCGTCCCTCCTTTGACGGCTTCGAGGGTTTGCCAGGAAGCTCATACTGTCCGGCAGCTCGGATCAGGTTCGTGGTGTTTCTGTAAGCTCTGAGTAGACTTGGATGGTTCGTCACCCTTCGTTGGCTGCGGCAAGCAGACAAGTGTGGTGGTATTGTCGCTCGTCCTGCCCGGAAAGCTTTGAGTAGACTTTGGATTGTCCCTTCCCCATGGACGGCTATGAAGGTTTCCGGACAGGCTGGATTGGAGGTGCCGAGATCATGACGCCCGCTGTCTCTGAAAGTTCTGGGCAGGTTATTCCTCCTCTTGGACGGCTTTTAAGGCTTCCCGGGCAGAGTAAATTGCGGCAGTGGCTGTGGCAAGGCAGCAGATGCGGTGGTATTATCGCTCGTCCTGCCTGAATATGTTTAGAGCTTGCCGGCAGGATGAGCAATATTAAAAACTGTCCATGGCTTGCCAAGTATGGCAAAGACAAGACTTTTCTACCCGGTTCAGAGCTTGGCGGAGGACCAACGGCAATATCCCGTGTCGTGCCTGATAAACCCTTGAAGGCAGGGGGAGACACAATCCAAACTAAATCAGACACAGTCGGTCGGGACGATCATGGGCTTTGCGGTCTGCCGGGGAAGACGAGCGACAGATTTCCCACTTTCAGGTCCTGGATTGGCATGTCTGCCGTTTACTCTCTCCCAGTACAGTGAAGTGGTTAAGGATTGACATATGACACTTGCCCATGCCGTCCCATTTGTTGACGTTCAACCTTCTATCCGCTTTCACGTGGATAGGAAGGGGCGGCTAGGAATGGCATGACGGCGGCAAGCATAAAAGCATGCTGCGCTCGTCAGTGAGCAGCAGGAAGATATGCAACGGGAGCGGCGTCAGATCGATGTCGAGCGGAAATCTACCACAAGCATCTCGGATCTGTTGGCCAGGGCCATGGCCGTCATGTCGTCCAAGAGGAGCGCTGCCCCACCACAAAGAGGATGCGTCCGTATCTAACCCGAACTCTTGTTTTTTCCACGATGGCCATCACCAAACCTTACAGCTGAAGATTGGTGGCATAATTCGACAATAATGAACAAAATTGACAGAATATCATGAAGACCAACATCATCAGCAAGTAATGTCACGGATCCAAGTCGGCTGCAGCCCGCGCCATTGTTTTTCCCAGGTTTCCACTCCAGCGGCTCGTGTTGATCGGCGGCAGCATTGGTGTCTCCTGTCGATTCGTGGTCCGTGAAGCCAAAGATAAACCCCCAAGAGACGGCATTGTGCCCGACGAGGACGGGGATGGTCAACACCGCCAATCCACAAGTGGTTCCTCGGCCGGGGAAGGATGAAGCAGCGAGGCTGACGCATATGCAATGACACCTGCCTTTCACAAGTGTTGTGGCGAAGCTGAGGACTGACACATGACGCACCCGGCCATGCCTTTCTGTCACATAGTAGAGGGGATATGGTCCAGAAGGCGTGGTAGACAAACATAAATCAACCGCGACCGAACGAAAAATCCAAGAGCATCGGCGTTGCCCTCCCGACAACAGGGAAGTAAAACACTCCAAAGACACATCCAAGACGTTGACCGACTTGCGACTTGAAAACAGTCGTAACAAAGGCAAGGCTAGCTGCCTGACGGGCGATGTCAAACGGCTCACGGAGCGGGTCAAGGAGAAGGAGAATACGGATCTCCAGAGCCGCAACGTTACCGTCCTGCGAGAGCAACCTGTCGATAATCACTGTCAACATCTGAGGTATGCATTCAATGTTAGTTGACTCTAATGATGCTAATCACCCAGTTTCTAAGAGGTCAGCTGCCGTGTAATTTTCGCTGCGCCTCAGCGCGTGCCCTAGCTGCTCTCACGACCGTAAATGACGCATCTCTCTTTCCGGCCAGAGCCATTAGCACCGTGTACGAAGAGTCGTCGTCGAGAGTGGTCTGTTTCGCCATTGTTGATAGTGTGGAGCGGAGTTGGGACTTAAGACTATGGTGCAAAAGACGTCACGTGCCAGAGCGGGCCGTCGCGTCGCCAAGTCTCCAAGAGATATTATAATCAGAAAATACTAGAGATTCACAGGCCGAAATTTTGAAAGTCTCTGAAGATGAGGACAGTTTGGCTCGATGGACCCAGCGAACGAGAAACACGCCACATGTGATCTCGCGATTGCTGAATCATCCGGAACGCGCTCCGCGACTTCTTAACTCGCACCTTCTCCGCACCCGAACGAACACCTTTACCTCCATCTCTCACGCATCCAAAGACTCTTTACGGCGGCATGCGACCTGTATGTATCGCAATTCCGTTTCCTTCATGATCCTCCACTCTTTTGCCTCACATCACACCAGTTTCTCGCATCACAGAATGCGCGGTCGACTCCGACACGATTGACCCTATATATAGGGCATCCTCCACGACCTCTTTACAGTACTCTCTGGCTAATCCGTATCTACTGACGCGAGTATGCAGGCTTGCCTTTTCACAGTCACGCCCGCGATCAACGAAGCAAGCTCTTCATCCAGACATGAATCAACAACGACCAAGCGTTACTCTGCACCAGATATAGCTTGGGCCTGAATTGGCTAATGTCCAGATCGATCTGGAAAACCTGCAGCTACAATGTCTACGCTCAAGAATGACCGCATTAGCAATCCATGGCATACAATACCGCGCACACGCCCGTTACCGGTACACATCCTAAGCCTCTAGATAGTAACTAATTGAATGTAAAACGAGCTACTTTCTAATACGCACAGAGTATAAAATTTAGATAATCGTCATATCGCCTATTTAATAACATACAGAAGGCAGGAAAGTAGCGAGGTAAATTCATCAGTAATACTAAAGAAGAGAGTACGAGTAGAGAATTTAAAAGGAAAATAAAAGGCTAGAATAAGTAAAAATTCCCTTAATTTTCCCTTTATTTTCTATTTCTTTTTATTTTCTATTTCTACTAAAACTGCCCTCTACATTCCCCTATTCCGTATAATAGAAACAGGTATTGCTAGAGCAGAAATTAGTCGCAGCTCTGCTATAATATAAAAAATCTGTTCTCCGGGTAGTATCGCGGCTTAGCAAACTTCGAAATTTCGGAATTTCTCCATCCACCAGATCATGCAAGACTAGACAAAAGACTACGCAATCTTTTCTTATCATACCCAACCAAAAAAGGTGCGGCGGGCCCTAGCAGCCCCAAATACGCAGGGAAACCTCACGTGGACCGAACAAACTCGTCCATTAGGGTTGGAAGGTCACGCAGCATACAAAGCGGGAAATAGCAATCGTACCTAGCAAACCATTCAGATCTATAAAAGGCACTAGATACCGCTATTCAATCAGAGTGGCGATCAGTAAGGTCTGCGCGATTAAAAGCCCTGAAATCAGCCATAAATATAACCGAACTCTACAAGCAGATAACCAAAACAGACCCACAGAATCAAAGACGCTTCGATGAAAGCCCTCAGGACGGAAATTGCTCGACTTGAAACTTCCGCGACCGAGCAAACACAGATCGCCAATGGCTCGAAGAAATTGTGGGACTCTGAGAAGAATGCGCTTGAGGTCAAAATCAATGACCTTGAGAAGGAGCTAGAGAGCAGCCAAAAGGTTATCGCAGATCACCTGAAGTCTCAAGCTCAGCTATCCAAGGAATGGGAGCGTTCACAAAAGAACGATGGGGCTTTCATCTCAGAGCTCAGGAACGACGAGCTACCGTCAAAGGACAACGCATCGGCCTCGGAGACATACGCAATCCTCGATGCATCCCGCTCTAGGCCCGTCGACCTAACTCGGAGGCACCCCCGAAGGTTTGGAGATTCCGCGAACCTTTGACTTTCCCGATCAGAAAATCCTCAGAGGAAGAATTGCAGCAATTGGTCCGGCAGGTTGTAGCATCATGGCAGACACTCGAAGACTCCGATTGCCGATTGGCAGATCTCTACCCAAGAAAACCCATTCGCAGAGCGGCAATACGCAAAGTGCCCATCAGCAGAGCAGCGCCCATCAGCAGAGTGTTTCCACACTTGAAGGCGCGCCGAACGATGACACCCCGATGGGCAGCACCGCGAATAATGACCTGTCAAACTCAGGCCCTCCCTTCGATGAATCACCTATGGAACGTCATAGTCCAGTGGTTACGATCCAGAAGCGAGACTAGATGGAGCGGATCCGGCTCGCGTCAATCGACGAGGTTTTGGCTTTCCTCAGCAGGTAGACCAGGTCCTTTGAGCATTCTGTTTTGTTTCTATCGTTAGACCGTGCAGCAGTTTACTGTCTTTTCCTTTTTAGTCAATTTTCTTTCCTTTTTATTTCAAACCAGGCACAGATAGAGCAATCAATATCATTTTGCACACGAGTTTGGCGCGAAAAGCCGGGCTCATTGTGGTATGACAGGTGCCGGTATCTCGCGGCGGCCTCTTCAATGCTGAAATTGAACGGAAGGAGGAATTGAGAGTAAAAAAGGAAATAAGGAGGGAGGGATGGAGAGTAGTTAGACCGCGGCGAGACGACTATAAAAAACATTCTTCCGCCCAATTTCTTTCTTTCTTCTTCGTCATCATCTTCGTTTAGGCCGCCGCGCGATGAGGGGCCGGCGGGTTAACGCGAGAATCAGGGCTCTTTAGGCCGCCGCGTGTCTACAGACAAACGGTACCGCATATAGTAATCGCGAAGAACAGGAAGGAGAACACTGAGAGATACATTTTAGCTCCATGCTTTTCTTGCAAACGCTGAGATGAAAAGAAAACAAATAAAAGCTAGGGGAGTATTTATAGCCTTGAAGCGGCACCTGCACGCCCCGCTCCTTACTTGGAGCACCCGCGCGGGTAATAGGCTTGGTGTAGATTGTCCGGATTTGGGAGGAGAGAACGGCTTGACTCGCGAGTTGATTTGGTGCATATTGTCCAGACCTGGAGGGCAACGAGGGCGATCAATCGCGCGGATGATAGGTTCGGGGTGCATTCTCATCAAGAGAAGTCTTGAAGGTGAAGAGGAGATGAAGGATGGAGAGGGGGGAGCTTTAAATATTGGATTCTGGACAAACCTAATGCCGAGGAAAAAGCGACGTCCATGAGAAGGGCGGAGGTAAGGATCGATGGGGTGTTCCGTGCCTGCTAAATTTAAAATGTCAGATTCTTTGAAAAGTGAAAGGAAAGATGGGCAAACGAAGGAGGGGAAAACGCACATGTCCAGATACTACATTACAGCCATCGTGTTCTGGACAAATTCATTAAGGCCGCTGCGGTTGGTCAAGGAGAATTCGAGAAGAAAGGAGGGAGCGTGTGTTAAAATATTGCTCCACGGCGCCGTTGCCAGGTTGGGAAGCGGGCTCCTCGGTTTTGCAATTCTCGCGTGGGACGTAGTTCATGTTTGCGGTAAGGCAGCGACTCGTCAAATCATGCCTAGGAATAAATCCTCCTGCTTCGCGTCAGCTGAATCTTTCAATGACGGACACATGTCTTCGTTTCCGTTCCAACCGAAACTTCTGCAGCCAGGCGTATCGCCGAGCCCGACGTTCGGACTCCTGCCGTGGATGGCCATGCCCGGTGCGTCGCGGCCGTCCATGCGCAGCCAGGCGTTGGTGAAGCGGCCGACATGGCCCGGCGTGTCGTAGGCGTCTCGGTGGGCGGAGAGGACCCAGTGATGCACAGTCATGTCGACATTGCGGTGGGCGGGCAGGTGGTGGGAGCGGGTGCGCCACCAGGCATTGGTGAAGCGGCCGTCGCCTGTCTGCATTGGAAGACTACTTCAGAAGTATGTCAGCTCTGCTCCGGCTACATCAAGAGCTGGATGGGTTGGACACAGGCCGGATTCGTCCACATCTCGGAGATGGCGAGCACGCCATCTGCCGATGACTAGGCTAGCAACCTGGGGAGAGAGCTGAACCTGTAGATTGAGGTTCTCATGAGGGTTTCATGAGGCATGCGCAGGACATGGGCCTGAGGACAGGAACGGTCTGAGGACAGCTGAATGCGTTTGTGGGGTGAGTCATCGAAGCCTGAACGGGAGGTTTTCCATGAATTGAAGAAGAGAAGAGCAGGCGCCGTCCCCACTCGATGGGTTGACGTAGGATGGATGGCGACGATGGGGGGAGGCGCGAGTTGGAGCTTGAAAATGACGACATGGAGATGGACGCGGGGTTGACTCAGCGCCAATCAACACGCGATCACGTGACTGCGTCTGGCGCGACAACATTCATGTCCAGCCCACGACAGAGCTAACAAACAAGGTGGTAGGCTCTACTCTTGACTCACGAAGATGATGTCGTTCGACCGCCGGTCACTGTTGATAAACTTTCGCAGTACCTGAGATAATTCCAATCGACACGGACGCCAACCATTGGCACGACATCAACTTTTCGGGACTGCCGCCGTCAGCAAGATTTAATGATGACCGGCCTCATGGAAATGTATAACCTGATGGTGCGAACTGGCCCTGTCGTTTGTCCTTCCTGGCAAGCCCTGGGCAGATCGAAAAGCTCTTCTTCGCAACGCCTGACTGGCTCTGATCGGGTTTGGACTGTGTCTTCCACTGCCTTTAAGCTTACCAGGGACAAGTAAAGTGCTGTTGCTCGTCCTCCCGAAAAGCCCTGGAAAGGACGCAGAGCTCTTGTCTTTCACCCTACTTGGCAAACCCTAGTCAAATTGTAAAGGTCTTGTTCATCCTGTCGGCAAGCTTTACACGACTTTGAACTGTTCCTTCCTTGGGAGGCTTTGAAGGTTTACCAGGGACGAAGATCTTGCCGCTCGTCCTGCCTGTAAGCTCTGGGTGGGTTTAGATTGTCTCTTCCATAAATAGACCTGATCTTCTTTCAGTAATTTGTCAGAAAACTCGCAAAAGACCGCCGCTTGAACAATTCTTGTTGTGTATCCTAAAACGTATGGCGAGATGTGGTCTCATCGGGCCATTAGCGACCCTCACCTCATGACGCATGGGGGACGGGCGAAGTAGTTCTTCAACGAATCCTAGACGTTACGCGCCCATTGTCGCCACATCTTTTGCAGGTCTTTCCTCCAGCCTCACCATAAGTGCCGGCTTGTCCCAAACAAAATGAGCCTCTTGGTCAGTCCAGTGCTCACTCTCAGCATCCATGTGCACATTAAAATTCCAGAGCAGCTTGCACAGAATAAGTCGAATCTCGGCGTATGCCAGACTGTCACTGATTAGTCCCGTAGTGGAGGATATGAACGAACCAGGCACTTACTTTTTGCCTATGCAGTTGCGTGGGCCAAGGCTGAAAGGCTGCAGTGCATCGCGATGGTCAGCAGCGAAGATTGGGTTTGCATCGGGCGAGTCGAGCCAGCGTTCGGGGGCGAAGCGATGCGGGAGGGCAAAGTTCGAGCCGCTGTGATAGGTAGCATAGTGGTGACCGGCGACAATAGTCTGCAATAGGCATATCAGACATGATTTTTGCATGGACAGGACAAACAAAGATTCTTACGTTTCCAGGAATCCTTGTTCCGCAGATAGTAGTGCCGCTGAGTGGTGTAATACGGGCGAGGGAGGTGACAAGTGGGGGATACATTCGCAGGGATTCTTGGATCACAGCGGCGAGATACGGGAGTTGGGCGGAAGTGGTGAAGGAGATGGCCGCATTAGTGGGGAAAGCGGTGCGGATCTCTGTGGAAAGACGGTTCAAGATGGCGCGGTTTTGGCAAAGATAGTAAATGCAGCCGGACAGAAGTGTGGCAGAAGTTTCACTGCCGCCGACGATCAATCTGTCAATATGTTTAGTGTATATTCTCCTCCCTGGCACCTTGACTCACAAGAAGGCGTTTGAATGTATCTCTGCCCTGCTCATGACCAACTTGCCATTTCGATAATCGCCTTTTCCTTCTGTCAGCCCGTTCTTCAGCATTGCCGAAATAAAATCCGGCCGCTCTGATCCCAGCTTCAGTCTACGATCCACTTTGGCAGCGCTTAGGTTGAAGTGATCCAATTCCCCTTGGCGTACGCGTTTGGGGATGCAATGCCCCAATAGAGCGCTCCAGAAAGGGAACTGATTCACAGCATTCTGGAGAGACATAGCCTTGAGGGAGTTGAAGATCAGTTTGATCCATGGGTGTAGCTCCCTATCCTGTAAACAATTAAAAGACTCGCCGAACATCAGGTCCCCCGTAATGTCGAAGGTTGTATAATTGAACCAGGCCTTGATGTCAAGCGCGGCGGTGGGGGCGGCAGTGATGTGCTCGCGCAGCCGGCTGATCAGCGTATCAACGTATCTAGTGACCAAAGGTTCTTGTTCTTTGAGTGCACGCTCTGAAAAGGCATGCGACAGCAGCCGGCGTTGTCTGGAATGTACGGCATCATCAACCGCCGTGCTCAGGTGATCAGCGCCGTTGATCTGGGGCCCGTAATGGCTCCGCTCCTTTACGCAACGCTCGTGCTCGGGGCGCGGACCATAAATGTCGCGAAAGGCTTCGGCAGTGTTGAAGGCTAACTCGGCAGGGCCGATACGCACGACGGGCCCGTATTTGTCGTGTAGAGCGAGTACATCCAGGTGGTGATGACCACGCACGATTGACAGCTGAGAGGGGATGCGCGAGATGGCCCAAAGCCTCGGGCCTGGAAAGCGTGATAAGGGAGAGAGGAAGAGGTCGTAAGCAATACCGTAAACGAGCCAAGTCAAGACCTGTAGTGGCGTCAGTGATATGCACAGACGTTCGAATTCTCGAAGCTCACCAGCAGCCCAAACCATGCAAAAGGCGACACCGTTAGCACTGATTCTGTCAATACTTGCGACATTGTTTGAGACGTTGTTCCGATACTTTGGGTGATGGTGCACAACAGAAAGCGCTGAACGTCTCTTCTTTTAAGAGTGGCGGAGCGGGGAAAGAAAGTGCCCACCAATCAGCACGCAATAAGGCGGGGTATGGATTTAAAAGCAATTGTGTTATCTTCGCTGTCCAAGGGAAAATCGTCTTCTTCATCCTCTGCATTTAGTAAAGACCTTCTGAATGCATTCACCCACCAGCTGCTCCCCCATGATCGATCAAACTACTGGCATTCTTCATGCTCAAATAGAATAGTGAGCCTCCCCGCACCTCCGTATCCTCCAACGCAAAGTCTCCATCAGACCAAAAGCAAAAAAGAATTCCAGAGGGAACTGTTAACTGTGTGGAGTCAGTGTCGGATTCGGCCTTAATATCTCGATTGGTTAGGAGCTGCTGCACGTTGAGACGAGGCGGACTGACGGGTCTGGACGCCAAAGTCTGAGCAGTGACGGGATAGGAAGGGTGCTAGGAGCGGCGACGCTGAGCAACGGGCCAGTCCTCTTTGGCGACATCCCAAACGCTAGGCGCGGCGGCGATACGGGCGAGACGTTCGCGGTCGTCATCGGAAGATGGGTGATTGTAGCTAGCTTGGAATTTAGCCTTGCTCGTAACTTTCTTCGAAGTTGCAGTGCTGGCATTCAAAGGCGCGTCGTCGTATGGATGCTTGTCGTCGCATACCTGGTAGGATGCCGAGGCGTAAATGTCAGCACGGGTGGCCTTCCCGCGCCACGAAGGACTCGGCCTAGCGAGGTCCGTGACAATGACACGGTCCTTGGCGATGGGTGGATGGCACACAGGGAAAGGCTCCGTGTAAATCCGGATCTGGTCAGCGTCGAAGTCGTCGTGCCAGTTCAACTCCTCGGGCACATCACCAACCACCCAAGGCTGACGTTCGGGTTCGTTGATGTCCTCGGGTTCCCTGCCCTCCTTCTTGGCATCTTCCGCCTCCTTGTCCTTGAACTGAGTGTAGCCTTCATCGCCACACAATAGGTAGTAGCCACGGTAGACGCCAAAGTACCAGACGCCGCTCTTCAAAATCTTGTACGCGCAGCCCATGGGGCGGTATCCGGGATGGATGATGTACAAGTGCATCGCGAATGGCCAGTTTTCGTGCAGAGCCGTCAGTCCAAGTGGACCGTCGTCGACTAGGTCGTAAAGAAGGCCGATCGACTCCGAGGACAAGTGAACTCCTTTGGGGGGCAGGCGCTGGCTGCCGTCCTTGCGCACGAAGAATGGGTCTCCGGTACCTTCCCACAAGACCAGCTTGTCCGTATCCTTCAACCCGTAGCTAGAGCTCCAGGACGGGCGCGGGCGTTTCCAATCCGTAGACCATTCGAAGCGCTTCGGGACAACTGACCCGGGCAAGAACTCCTCTCTAGACATGGCTTGATCGGCCTGGTCGTTCAAGGCGAGTGTGAGCTCAAAAGAGCTGATGTTGATTGCGAGAGTGAGTAGTGGTTGGTGGTTTGTGAGAGGTTTGCGAGTTGGCTGGCCGCGATGTTGAGGTTGGAAGGAGGAAAATTTAGATCTATTTTAGCAGTTCACTTTGTTTGCACTTTCAGGGCTGTCCCGTGCCGACTTAAACACACGTCATAGGAAGGCCGATGGAAGATCTTTCCAAGTCTAACACTTTCACAACACCATTTCACAGTATCACCATCGGAAGGCACCCGTACTATGTCCGAAGCTTGCCGAATAAGAGAGAGAATCCTGGTAATTTCTTTGACTCTCGGGGATTGCAATGGCTTTCAACATCGCTCGGGGATTCATAGGGCCTACTGTGTCAATCGTCAATGAATTGGTCGCTGAAAGGAGAGCGCTGTGGAAAGAAAATCTTGAACTGACTGGCCTTTCTGAGAAGATTCATCAAGCATAGTTGGCTTTCCTGATTGTGTGCACCATAATTAGGTGTGGCCTGTGTTTCATCAAGATGCTTTTGCCTTTGACATTCACAACGTGTCGAGGTTCAGGGGATCAGTTGAATATCGTGAGATTCCTTCGCAGTGTGGAATGTTTTGAAGATGAAAAGGCGGGGAAGGCTGAGGCGAGCCGGGCGTGCGCGCCGTTTCGCGTCATTTTCGCGCTTTGATGCCTAAACCTAATCGCGGATAGCGGACCGAACCGTACTACGTAGCTCAATGCCAAAACCAACAGCAACGCATGCTCGACAAGGCCAACACAAGAATTTTCTGTGTTTTCTACTGGTCAAATGACGATAGAGAGGATTAAGCTCTTCTCACCGCCTCGCTGACATCAACATCCCGGGTGCAGTAAGCAGAGAAGCGGGAAAACGGTAAGCAAACAGTGGCGGAGACCATACAGGTATGTCGGAAATCATCATGGAACCGAGTCAGAAGCTAATGTAAGCCGCAGTGTCACCTGTCATCACACCTTGCTTGATTTATCCGCAAGAACCGGGTCGGACATGCAATGGGATCTGTTCTCAGGGGCCTGCATCCTCGCCTTCCTATTGTCGGCATTTTGACGAGCCGAATCTCGATCGTCGCATGACATGGGCACGAGGGAACCCGCTGTCGATCCTAGCGTCGGTCGGGAATTCCCTGCGGCACAGGGAGGTGGAGTTTCGAGCACGAGTCTTTAACCTTCCTCTCCGCCCGGACTTGCATTCAACAACATCCACGATAACGAGATAGCGAGACCGACAAGTGAATGATGGCCTCAGAAACATCGAGAGAGTCGGTAAGCAGAGTGTCGAGGGTCACACCATCCTTGACTGACGTCAATTGTCATCCCGCAGGAAAGCGACTACGAGGACTCCTCCTTGGGCAGCGACGCGTAAGCGGCCATCATTGAATCGAGGAAGAAACGTACCAACCCGAAGCAATCTTCCAGCGAGAGCAGTTTACATTCTTTGGAATCGTGGGTAGAGAAGGATAGGGAAGAAGTAAGAAACGGAGGCGTTTGTTTAGATGCTGGTCTGACCGCTACAGAATGGCCGCCGGTACCACTCATTCAAAGACGGAGCCTATCTCATGGTATTGCGCGCAGAATACCCCCGTCTGAGCTCCTGCTGATGCTCCGAAGCCGAATGACGAACACGAATTGGACCGCCTCGACCTGCACCACCACGTTACGCTGTTAATGATGGATGACAAGTTGCATTTTGCGCCACTCGAGAGTCCCCATCGTGTTTTGGATGTCGGGACTGGAACAGGGATATGGGCGATCGATTTTGCGGAGTAAGCGGTGCTCCTCGGCAGTCGAAGCATGACAAGGCTTACAGTCTCAAGCTTGTTTCCCGCGGCTTCGGTCATCGGTACGGACCTGTCACCAGTACAGCCTAAATGGTTTGTCTCTGCCCCTTGGTTGTCGACAGCTGCTAAGCATGTCCAAGGGTCCCTCCGAATCTTGAATTCCAAATAGATGACGCCGAAGACGAGTGGACCTTTCACGATAAGTTCGACTATATCCACATACGCAGCATGGCCGGATCGTTTGGAGACTGGAATAAGCTCCTGGCGCAAGCGTTCGCGAACCTTAACCCCGGCGGATACGTCGAAATCCAAGAGCACGAAGCGTGGTACAACTGCTACGACGATTCATTGGAGAAGGCGCCCAACATCATGAACTGGATGACAAAGCTCAGGGAGGCATCGGAGAAGATCGGAAAACCTTTCTTAATGCTGAATACGCTTGCGAAGACTCTCGAAAATGTCGGATTTGTCGACGTCAATCAAACTATCATGGAAGTGCCCACTGGCCCGTGGAAAGAAGACAAGAAGTTCAAACTCGCGGGCATGTACCAGCGCGAGCAGATGATCGAAGCGGCGAGCGCGTATGGCACCGCACACTTTACGCGCGTGCTCGGGTGGAGTCTCCAGGAATACCAGGTTTTGAGCAGCCGTGTCCGCAAGGAAATGCGTAATGAAGATCTCCGTCTTTGGTCGAAGCTGTGAGTCCCGAAATACCGCTGTCAGAAGGTAAAGCTGATCTTTCAAACAGTTATGTTGTACATGCTCGGAAGCCTGCATGATAGGTGGCAATGCCATTGTCAAATATTTCTCTGTGTCCTTGTGAATAGGGCCGTAATACATTCCGCATGTATATCTGACACATGAACATAGTTTATCACGTGCAACAGTGTTGATTTCCAAGCCGATCGTAATCTCACCCGCCGAAGTGAACCGTCATTTTCTATCGGGTCTGTTAGCTGCTTCAAGCAAACTTGGATGCAATTAGCGATTGGACTACTTACGAGCAGACATTGAATCGTGAGATGATCATTCGTCGATCGTCTGCTGGCTACTAATTTACATCCACCGTCCATATAAATAGCAAATTACTCCTCCATCTGCTCTGTCTGCTCCTGCTCTGTCTGCCCTGCCTGTTTCGCCTCTGCCTCCTCTATAAGCGCCAACAACTGGGTCCTTAGCTCTTCTTCCCTCTGGAGCCGCTGTTGACACTCGTCGTAAATAATGTCGCGCTCAGTTTTCTCTTGATCGATACGAGCTATCGATTTGTTGACCTCCTTGCTGATCTCCGACCCAGGATAAAGGTCCAGGTTATCTTTAGTAGTGGCTTTCCCCTCATCACGGAGGTCGGCCAGCCGGGAAAAGGCCTGTATCATCTCCCTGGCATCGGCTTTCTCGTCGTTGTGATCACTGACCATTTGGTCGAGCTGCTGGTGGGCGTTCTCAAAGGACTCTGCTTCCCGTTCTTGTTCGTCGCTGACTACCTTTCTGTACGCCTTCAACTCCCGTTCCAAGTTGGCTGGGTACGGCGTGTTCTTGTTCCGCCATTGCAAGGTGTCGTACCAAACTCTGTTGGTGATACTCTCGACTGACGTATGGTTTTCCCCGGCGCGGGTATGAGCAAACCCACCACCATTATCCGTGTATGCATCAGCGAGTAACGTGAACATAATTTCGGCAGGGACAGACTCGTAGTCTGCGGCCAGGAACGCGACAGGGTTGGCTACCAGAGTGTACCGGTTGTCAAACGTTGCCACTTCCACCTGCGCGATGGAGTCACACAGGGCCATGATGTAGTTTGAAGAGACATGAGCCAGGTGCTGAGCAACCCTCGCTTCCATATCGTTCGTCCATGCAATGTACTGGAGAGGATGGTCTAGCGGATTGTGCGCCTTGGCTCCAGTTAACTTGTCAAGCCGTTCTTCCAAAGCGACGCAAAAATCCAACACTTTTTTGCACTTCTTGTCTGAAAGAATGCTCTTGTTTTCCGACGACATGAGGAATTTCCGGTAGTGTCCAGCCTTGCTGCTATATCCACTGATGAGACGTGCGTAGGCGTCGCCCTCTTTGGTCGTGGAGACGTACAGTCGAAGTTTTTCGATAACAACGCGCAGTTGGACTGGGGTGGGAGCAACACCGTCTTCCTCTCAGACAAAGACAATGTTGTAAATGCCTGGCCGGCCTTGCATGTAGGTCTTGTAGTGCCTCATGGTATCCATCACGTCTCCTGGTTTCTTGACCGCCTTTGCCAGGTTGCCAACAATTATCTCTTCGAGGACATGGGGTGTCATCGAGGCGATGACTGGGCTACTCCATTGAAGCCACCTTTTGAGTGGCCAGCCGCGGATGCCACCGTGATCAAGCCTGTTGGCTATCTCGAAGATCTTGACAAGCAAATCCTGGAAGCTGTTCGATGCAAACTCGGCAGCGAAGATGCTGCCTGCACCGACGAGTGGAGAGGTGAGCCCGAAGGCTTGTTGAGTGGACGGCGGCGGCTCCTCGTCATCTGGCTGCGATAACAGATTATCATCAGCATCCGAAGCTCTAGTGACATCTACTTCGCTGCCTCCGTCGTCTTCCGTGACTACGACGTGACCCTTGATCTGGCCAGACAGGAGTCGCTTTCGGGATTGGTTGGAGGGACTTTGATCTTCGTCGCTGCTTGCTTCCATCATGTCGTGGTGGCCCCCGGGAGCTGCCATGGTTGGTGAGACTGAAGGCAACTGGTAAAGACGAGGTGGATTGATGGATGTTTCTGGGAGATGCAGGACTGAGCGAGTTGGAATGCGGTGGGTGTGAGGACCGACTGAAGTGGGTTGAGTGGTTGAGAGTCGGGGTTACGAAAAAGAAGGCACGGCTGGCGTATGCCTCGTGACGGCGGGCTGTCAGCAAACAATGGACACCTTGTCAATGCGCGCGGCGATGTTAATGCAGTGTCAATGATGATATCGGCAGAGCACGGATCGCAGTGCTTGTTTCACCTTCCGCCCAACGCAGACTGACCTCCCACGCTTCTTCCACAACATCGCGTCCGCAGCCAAACTTTGGAGCCGATCGCTCCCGACGCAGAACCAACCATGGCACCGATCGACGAGACGCCCGTCAGCCCACCGACCGTCGAGGAGGAGCTTGAAGCTCTGATCGCCAATGGAAGCCCTGAATCCATGGATGCAGTAGCCAGTGAGTAGACTTACGCACGAATCCCTAGAATTCTTACTAATTCCCGTAACAGAGATGATGAAGGCCCTGATCAACGAGCGCGACGAGGCTCTGCAGAAGCAGAAGAAGGCGGAGAAGGCACTGGCGGAGGTCACCAAGGAGCGCGATGAGGCTCTCCAGTTAATCAAGCAGCGCGACGCCGCATCTGCCGAGATTGACAAGGGTTTCGAGCCAATGTCTCGCAAGGCGGCGTCGGTTGGTTCCATCGGCAAACCGTTCAGTCATTCGGAAAGGTTGGTTTCTCTCGCCTCCTTCGCTGGGCCCAACGCTGACAGCATTGCCTTCACAGGGAAGCTCGTCGTCCGCAAGACCCGGGATTCAGCAGCTCCAGCACTGCGCCCATCGTTGGCTCTGCCATTCCTTTTCGTGGGCTGAGTGAGGTAGCTAGTCGTCCTAGCATGTCGGCATCTAAGAGTCACAATCTGTTGCCCGCCAGTCGCCCCGTCGTGTCTTTCAGTCAATCACCTAGTCGTTCCAAAATGTAAGTCTCTCACACCTCCATTGATAGGCCGAGCGCTCACAACATTGCTTACACTAGGGAACCCCGCCTTCCGTCCGGATATGGCCTTCCTGCAGTGTCTGAAGCCACCAACGTCGAGACGGCCGCCTTTGGCCAGACGCATGAGGCAGTTAGTCCTCCTAGCACCACCAGATCTGGCATCACAGTTCCTCAATTCCAACCGGCGCCTCATGGACCCAGTGCTGGGTCTCACATTGCCTCCCGCTCGACTCCATCGGCAGCTAGCGGCTCGGGTGCAGGCGGTGCTACATCTGCCGCCCCAGGAGCTACTGGTCCAAGTGCAAGCAGCACTACAGCGATCACGCAGAAGCCCAAATATGCCTCTATGGCCGAGTTCACTGCGTCATGGCCGGATCCGATGGAGCAGCCCTTCTACCACCCTGGCCATGACCCCGATCGGCCGCGCACGAAATTCAGTATGGATGAAATGGTGCAGGCGTTCGGTCCCGGCTACAAGGTAATCGCGGAACTCGAGCCTCCGGAGCCGCTCCCTACTTTGACAAAGTACGTACCGGATCCGGATCTCGCAAACTTCCCAATTCCTGGTCCGTTGATCAGGAAGCGACGCAAGCCCCTGGCCCCAGCTATTCAAACGGCCACCCCCAACCCCTCGAGCCAAGTCACGACTGGCTTCCCTAGTTCGTCCGCAGGCGTCCCCGCCGATACTTCTGCTTTGTCGGCTACGGTCGGCACGTCTAGCCAAGGCCCAGCGGGCTTCTCTAGTTCGACTGCTCCTGCTATGCCAACCGTAGGCGACCTTTCGAGCCAGACGACGGCTGCTTTCACGAGCTCGCCCGTCGACTCTCCGGTTGGTCCGCAAGGCTCGCCCGCCGACCTTCCGATTGGTACTGGGAGCTCACATGGCTTGCCTGCCGCCTCGTCTACCGCCTCTACCGGTGGTAGCGACTCCCCGTTCGCAGGCCCAGAGAGCCACTCCAGCTAGTGGATCTTTTCATGTTGGATATGACCGGCACAGACGGATGAATTGGCGTACTATATCCACGAGAGAAGGCAAGAAGGTTGTGGGCCGAAGGTGAGGGTTTCGTGTATTTCTTAGATATTGCAGACATGAGGTCCGCGGTTCAATGAGAAATCTCTTCTTTCATGCTACTTACCACTTGCGTTTGTCGAGAGGCAATGTTTCGTTTGAGACGCGAGGTCAAATTAAAGTGATGTGGGGCTCGCACTTACATACCTAGTTCCCGCCGCCAGGCATCACCGCTAAATGCACGCGTCATCTCCAAAGAACATAGGATAAGCACGCTTCCTCAATCGAGAACAATCTTCTTGCGGAAACGCATTACTGTCTCGTTGCCGCGAAAGCAGTGACGCTTCGAAGGTTATTTAAAGCCTTGCAAAGACGAACATGTCACGTGCAGCAAGATGTGCGCATCTACAGTAACAGGCCATATTAATTCGCGACCGAGCAATTCACCGAATCACCCATGGCAACACAACATTACATAGACACAACCACATTCGATTCCGACAGTATCTACATGTTTCTCCATACTGTTAGGTCACTGCAGAATGGTTTGCAGTCGCTTAGAGCCTTGTGTGCCAGCCCCCGGCCCTGATCACTGCCTGACAACGCTTCTTCATGGATTTCAGTACGTTGTCAAAGTACCTCTGTGGAATTCGGTCCCAGGCCTCTTTCAGAGCGATCTCTAGCTGGTCTTTAACCTCGTCTGACTTCCCTATATTTAGAAGATCCGGGCGGTCCCGCAGGACCTGGTTCTTCAGCCAAAACCAGACGTGTTCGATAGGGTTTAGATCAGGCGAATAAGGCGGCCATTCAATTGGCTCTATACCTATATCCTGGAACCATTTCTTCACCTTTTTCGCTCCATGAATTGGTGCGTTATCCTGCATGAAGAGCAGCTTAGGAGTCCAGATTGTAGGTATTATTTCCTTAAGAACCTGCAGGTAGGAGTTGGCTGAATACCCGTTCTTTTTAGACTTAGTGTCTCTCTTTATAATAACCAATCTAGACCGACCTAGAGCCCCAGAGAAGGCTCCCCAGACCATAATAGAAAGGTCTTTTCCCTTCTTATATGTTGAGACCATTTGGCGGTCCCACTTCTGTCGTGGCGTACGAAAAACCTACTCCTGTTGTCCTCCCTTGCCCCGCTCGGCTGAGCACTCGTCGGACCAGATAATATTATACCATTGTTCAGCTGTCCACCCAACATGTTCGCGTGCCCAAGCTAGTCTCATGCGAGCATGGACCTCTTCTAGCATTGGTCGCTTCGCAGCTCTCCATTTGGTAATGTGGTGTCGCTTTAGGATCCGGTAATAGGTCTTCTTGCTGAAAGCGAACCCACACTCCTGTCGCAGCTCCTGGTACGTAAACTTGGGGTGTACCCTGGCATTCCGCACGATGATTCTTTCTTGACGGTCGCTTGCCTTCCTGGTTCTGCCGGGGCGAGGCGCTGAAACACCTGTAAAGCTGCCTGGGACCGCTTTCTTGAGGGTGGTTCTAACAGTCGAATCTGGGACATCGAGCCGGCGTGAGATGGCTGCAGGACTGTGGCCCTCAGACGCCAGAGTGACCAGGATCGCGTGCTGGGATGGAGAGAGATCGCAATTGGGAACGCGCTGGCCAAACAGCGACTTCAGGGGATCGGGTTGTGGCATGCTGCAGGTTTTGCAAAGAAGCGTGTTCGTGGGTCGCGTGTCGCGTCGATCGCGCGTTCGGCGAAATTCGCGAATTAATAAGGCCTAGAACTGTATCACAGTAACATTGGTTCTAGGTACTAGCTATCAGGCAGGTCATTCTTGTCGTAGACTTTACTGATGGATTGTGGATGCTCCAACCCTGGCTTCGTTTTTGGAAAATGCCAAACGGGCAGCTGCCACGCCGACGCCTCACCCTGACGCGACGCCCGGCTTCATTCTAGAGCTTCGAGCCGAGGCAGAAACTAGAAGATCTCACGAGAAAGCAAAAGCTAGACCTGGAGTTCATTTCTGGCAGCGAATCGGGAGACAACGGGCCAATGAGTTTGTTCTTGATGATATGCATGTTTCCGCTGATGTCTGGGAGACGGACCTAGCCGCCGCGCATCCGCCTCTTTGTCGTATTCGTTTGGCCAAGGGCAAGCAGCTGGTGAGTTTGCCTTTGGGCATGCGCAATCCCGTTGACTACACATCCAGGCCCCAGTCGCTGCGCCTCTGCATCGTCTGCCCAGTCATTGGGCTAATCGACAGCAGCCAGGTGTGTTTGCCTTTGTTGATATGCATGAATCCGCTGACTACACATCAGGGCCCTGCCCCTAGTCGTCGCGTAATCACCCGTCCTTGCACTCTTTTGGCCAAGAGACCGCCCGCATACCCCAGCTTACAACTTTTCCGGAGCTGTCCTCGTCACCGCTGCCCATGTTTCCCCCACCAGAGGAAGTATTTGCTGGATTGAGGCACTCACAAATTCGCCGGCTCGTAGAGGATGCTGAACCGGGGCTTCTCGCGGAAACGACGGCAGTCGCTGATGAATCGAGCCCGTGGCTACCAGGAGAGGCAGCTGGACAGATGACCTAGTCTGACGAAGGTGCCGAAGTCGTGCGCTTCGAGACGCAGGGACATTCGCTGAGATGTGGGAGAATGAGCTTGGACAGATCGGCATGACAGTGTCAGGGCATGGGTTCTTTGGCTTTGCTGATGGTAGGTATGGTCGCTACAGGCTTTGAATTTAGAGCCATTCCCACACGGCAGTTGAACCACCACAACCCGTAATGCGCGAGGGGAGACACCAAGGATGTATGAAGAAAGAATCTCATTGAACCGCGAACCTCTTACCCGCAACATACAAAAATAAAAATACAAGAAGCCTCAATCCTCGGCCCATCGCCTTCCTAGCTACCTAACTATCCGGTACGAACATAGTACCGAAGATTCTTCCAGCCCGCGGTAACGTCCCGGATCTCGTCCCGGAGAGGCAAAGCGACGCGCTGGCCGGCCTTGTGCACAATGCACGGTTCCCCATACTTCTCACAGTTGTAGCAAGCACGCTCTGCCTGGAGGACTCTCATTTCTCCACGTGAGCCGGTTGCACCGGACGGCGTGAGGTGTCTGTAAAAGCATCGCGGCTTCGGTTCTCTCATCCATGCAGCCCTCCAAGGGGCTTTGGGCCCCTTTACGTCCTTAAGCTTATTTTTGTGGTACGCAAACAGGGCGGGCGGGATATCCCTTATGACGGGACTACCCGCATCGAGAATATCGAGGACCTTCCATGCGCCCTGTCCCTGAGTGGTAGCTGGCGTTGAGCTTTGGGCTTGCGTGGTGGCCGGAGCCAGCCCTTGGGGCGCGGTAGGCTGATCGGAACTAGGGGCCGGAGCGGCGGACTGTGTTTTTTCCTCGTCATCATCACCGAGGTCAACTATACCGGTGTTTTCCGCATCGTCGCTTGTCTCTTCTGCTTCATCACCCAGGTCAACTACAACTGTGTGGCCATGGTCACCCTCACCGGGGTCAATCGTCCCTGCGTCGCTATTTTCGTCATCGTCGTCATTGCCCTCACCCAGGTCAATCACCTCCGTACCCGAGGCAAGAGGCGAGGCGGTTGGAAAGTCAGGGAAAACGCCCCTACCAGTGGGCGAAGCAGAATAGTTCGGGAAACTGGCGGTATCCTGGCCCGTCGGACTGGCAATGATGGAGCGAATCTCTACAGGGTCTGTCTGGGTGCCACGCGAAATCATGACCGCGCTGCTAGATGCCGCTCTCTGGTGGCTCGAAAGCTGACCAGGGTTCTGGAAGGGAAAGCCCGTGGCTGTATTGAGCGTGATCCCGCTGCTAGATGTAGCCCTCTGGTGGCTAGCTGGTTCACCGGGCTGGCGGAAAGAAACGTCGGCGCGCGTGGCGTCATGGGTGGAGCCAGATGTTGCAGGAGTGCGAGATACCGGGTTGAGCACTCGACGATCGGCGGGCGCAGCGCTGCGATAGTGAGTGGTGGATCTAGAGAATGGGGCGAGAGATACTAACCTTTCCAGTTAACTGACTAGTTCGCCGATGGAACCTATGGGAGGGGCGTCTGCGTCGGAATCGTCGCTGCGAGACCGAGCGTGCTTGAGGTTCTTGCCGTCGCCGGCGGCGGATTTGCCTTTGCGTGGATCCATGGCGATCCGACGCGCGTGAGAAGTTGGAGAGGGGATAGCTCGCGCGACGTGAGCGAGGCAGGATCGAGAAAAGATGATGCTGCAAGGATTTGGGGAGTTGGAAGGGCGGCGTGACAGAAGGCGTGCATCTGCCTTGCGCTTACCGTTTTCGGAAGATGGCCGATCAGGTAAGGTAAGCAAAAACGCTAGCACACAATTGTTTTATTCCGTCCGTCCATAGCTTTGGACATCTCCCTTCCTTCTTTCTCAGCTCCTTTCTCAGACGTCAACAGATGGATCCTCCCGACGAAAAAAAGGTCAGGTTTAAGGACGCTAATGCCCCGGACCAGGCCAACAATCCCTCGTCCAACGTCTAGTCTAGAACCCACCGTAGCAGCTCAATCGATATACTAAGATCGCTGCCTCCGGGAGAACGGCCACTCGAATATAGCGGATAAGACGAAATTATAATTTATCTATCCGGTGCCACAGGGGGCGAGTAGTCCAGCGGTCCTATCGTTAACGATCCTAAACTTCAAGACTTACGCCTTTAGCACCCTCATATCAGAGACCCGAAAAAGCCTAAAAATACCTTTACCGACGCCTAAATAGAGGCGGTCTTAGGCCTGGTATACAATTTCGTAAAGATTCAGCTACGCGCGAAAGACCTACCGCCCCTTCTAAAGCCGTTAACCTACGAAAAAGACCCGGATCTAGCTAAGTTCCCCCTTCCGGGCCCGCTAAAGCCGAAGCCAAAGCCTCGCAAGCCTGTTAGTATTATTACTATACTTTTCGTGCAACTAAATTTAAGTCCTGACCTTAATCTAGGTTTATGTCGATGCTTCTATCTAGACGGACGTAAGCATCGGAACTTCTTCTACTACTACCTAAACGAATACTAGCGATGCTGCCTTATCTACTAACCTAAGCCCGGCCTCCTAATAATACGTTAATTTAGGTCTAGTAAAAGACGATATAAAGGAAACGATGCTTTCTAGCTTAAGGTCTACCTTCTATAGGTTGGTATGGTTGGCGGCTTTCTTGTATAATATTACGTTTTGTTTGTATACCGGCAGCTTTGCCATGCAATAATTAAATATATTAAAGATATTTCTCCTTAAACCGTGACTACACCTTCTGTAGTGATTTAGTGTATGGCGATATAGAACTCGGATAGGCTTCGCAGTCGCGTCTATAAAGAATATATAGTAACTTAAGTATCTTCGTTTTTAGCCGCGGGGTTGCTATCTCTATGCTGAGAGCCTGTGCTTAGACCTAAACAATATAATAACTTGCCCGAACTATACTCTAATCTATTATGCCTCTTATATATTTATTTATTTATTTATTTAGGTTTAACGTCCTTTTAGAGTCGGTGACTATTAAAGACGAGCTAGTAAAGCTAGATCTAGGAAAGAAAAGTAGCTAGAGAGGGGCTTTTACCCTATAGCTAGATCTAGGTAGGTATAAGCAACGGTTCGCCTTCGAGGGCTAAAAA